TTCTTTATATTTTTAAACGGAGTTAACCTGTTCAATTTCACGGAATTTTAAAAGGTTAATAAAATATCTCTCTGTAGACTTATAAAAAAATGAAAAAAATATTTAACAACGATTTTTTCACACTCTGGAAAATTTGGAAACTCAATCGTATTGATACATATGTAAATATATGTAGAAAAGATTCCTATAAAACGGATACGCAAACCGTGAGAATCCATTCAATAAAGATTAGCCGTTCGGCGTCAATAAAATGTCCATAGCAATATATCATTGTGCATAATGTACATATGGGCTACCCTTATATGTTGTAATTCAATTCAATTTGCATCATTAATACAAAATCGATTTCAATTCGATACTTCTGTTCAGAACAGACTCCAGGGATGGTGGCTTCCTGCTCAACCCCATTCTACACGACTCAAGGTTTTTTCATTCATTTTTTTTATAAAACAATTTAATTTAATACATATTCCATTAAGCCTAATTTGTTTTTGTTCAGGTTGGCTGCTTCTGTTTCTGCTTCTGGTGTGACGCATTGGATTTTGGTTTCAGTGTCGTCCTGTTGCGCCTGGGGATTTGTCTGTGGCTCTTACACGTATTCCCATACATATTTAAGCTCATGTGTGAGTTTATTTGCATGTGTTTTTGTGGTCGCCTTTGTGCCTTTCATGCAAATGAAGACAAATATAAAGAGTATCGGCTTACCCCATTGCTATCTTTTCCATTTTATAGCATTTTTGCCTATTTTTTGACAACGCGACCAAAATATAAATAAAGCATGGTGGCGTCTGCCATGGAAATGTGCATAATTAAAAAACTGGCAATAAAAAATAATTATCTCCGTATTTAGACAGTCCAACTAATTTCCTTCATTGGAAAAATTCATTTAGAATTTAAAGTTGACTAAAACAGCGGGAGAGACCCCATGAAAACTTTTTCCTTCACTTTTGGATTTTTGCAATCGAAAAATTTGCTAATTAAAAATGGAAAATTTGAGACGAATGCAAACAATAATGATGAATTAGTTTATTCCGTCAAAGGAAGTAAGCCAATGGATAAGGCAGTGGAAATGATTTCCGAAGGCAGGGAGAATCCGATTCAACAAGGTGGACTGGGCGGCTGAATGGTTAATTGAGAAGTTGGCGAGATCTTTATATTTGAAGATGGAAGTCCTGAAAGTTAAATGGATAAAAAATTGATTATTCATTACATGGGAAAAGCTCTTAGACATATTCACAAAAAAAAGATTGAGAGTAAATAAAATATTCTGAAGCATTTCCCCATAATTTCATTTTAATCTGGATCAGGTTCTAGGCTTCTTTAATGAGCAAAGCAAAAAATATGCAAAACAATTCAGTAACAAAAGTGGTCATGAATATGCCTACTCATGAGTACAACTGCCTCTACAAATCGTAACAGATTAAAAATTTAAAAAAAAACACACCTTTTCAGCCAATTTCTTCTAATTTTCTGTTCACACATAAATTTAAAAGCTGCTTGTCTTGTCTAATTCTGGTCTAATACAAATTAGCTGATTGGGTGGGCGATTAGCGATAAGTTTGAGTATGAAGTAAAATCACAACAAATATGCAAATATTTATTTTCACACTAAACTTTGACGATATTGCCTGCCGAGAAATAGCCTGCAGGTTGAAGCGTGGAAAACGAACACAGATAAAGTGGCAGTGGAAACAAGAAATCTTCTGAAAAGAGACGAGCAGACAAGCAATTGCTTTTAATGTCGATGATTAGGATGCTTAAAGGGAGCTACTTACACACAGCCTGGCATTGTTGCTTTTGTTGTCTACTTTTAGGCCATTTAACCAACAAGCAGCACTCGAAACGAGCGCTCACAGAGTGAAGAGGAGACACAGAAATGGCTCACAGATTGTTTAATGAGGCGTATGAGTAACGTGCGGTGTTTTGAATTATCAAAATGATGCTGCGCACATTCAGTTTTTTTCTCGTGTTTCAGATTTTATTTGTTGGATACCCGCTCACGCTGGTGCCTCCAATAAAGTTATATTTTGCCTTAGTGAAACTTCTCCCGACGCTCCTTTCACTCTATTCTATTTAGTATTTTAACTTTTTTATTAAATTTGCTTGTAAAAAGTTGTCCAAGTTATTCGCTGTTGCTACTGATTCTGCTTGTATTGCTTGCTGGTGTTTTTCCAATGCCAGATTGTTTATTAAATAAATATTTGGTAGAACTTTTCTGTAAGCTTTGATGGACTTCTAGGTAAAGATTGGATCATTTACAGGAATGAACGGAAAGTATGAAGCCAAACAATTTTCAATGGCGGGCATAAAAAGTTCTCAATTGACACTGAAAGTTATAAGTATGGTATGGGGACTTGTGCTGCTTCTGAGAATGCGTTAATATCTATTGTTAAATTCTGATTTGAGTCTAAATTGGTTGACAAAAAATGTGTAGGAATATTTTTAATATAAGTGAATTTTAAATGCACATTTCCAGGCAAGTCATTTTGAAGTTCCCTTACCGACATCTTTCACATCATCTTTCCGACATTAACTTATTGGCGCCTTCTGCCCCTCCATCCATTTATCAGACATCTGACGTCATTAAGCCATCCCTTTCTGCATTTAAATTGGTCTCCTCTCGGCCATTAGACCAGCAGCTGCTTGTTTCATTGGTTGGCAAATAAAACAAAACCAAAGACATCGAAAACAGAAGTTACAGGAATCCCAAAACACCGACCTATCCACCTACTTTCACCCTTAACCACCACCATACCCTTAATTATTATAAAAAGGAATGGCAAAGCTGGCTATTTCAAATGTAATTTGAACTGGAGGGCTTCAAATTTATTACGAGACTAGCATCGTGTGGTGGTATGGCGAAATGAATTACTAAAGTGGCCGAAACCTCCCTCTGTTTACCCCCATCTGTTAGCTGGTTGTGCAAACAGTTGTCGAGGTGTCAATGTTTGTGTGCTGGCAATTCAGGCAAGATAGAAACCATTAAATAAGACTTGCTCTCGACCGCATGAAATGGTAGTCGCTGTTGTTGGCTCTGCGGTTGCAGCCCTGGCATTGAAATGTGTCTTCAAATGACAGAGAAAGATACTGAGAGTGTGGCAAACAGAGAAAGAGAATGTGGCAAACAGAGACAGGCAGAGACAGATAGGGAAAGGCAGTGCAAATGCATCTCACATTACGCATACTCCGCGGTGGCACGTTTGAACAACTTTGCAGCTTTGTTTAACTACAGCGTTTTTTATGGTGCCCAGCGAGAAACGTGTGGCACTGGCAGTTCAATGCAAGAAGAATGTGCAGCCAAGAGTAAGCAACAGTTAACCGCCATATAGCGAAGGTTTTGCCAACAGAGCGAGACAGCGGGAACGACAGTGAGAGAGAGAGGGTTCTGTATAAACCAATAAATAAATGGCAGGCACGTAAGCTGACGTGCATGATGAAGCGGATAAGTTGTAGTCTTCGATGGGATCTTACTGCTCAACAATCAATAGCATAAACGCTCTCTCCCCATGTTCATCTCTATATCAATAGACAAACAAAAGTTATGGCCAAGTTTTCCTTTCCACCTGGACCACATGGACACCGCTCTGTCAGCAGAGAAAATCAGTTCCATCTATTAAATATCGACATTGTAAAGCAGCCATACGTATATGTTTACATCTTTTGGCACTCAGGAGCAATGGCAAAGTGGTGTGCGACCCACGAACATGAAACATTCGAAACACGTCCAACATACAATATATATGTGTACATTTATGTGGATACTTTTATGTGGGAGTGTATGTTTATTTTTCGTTGACACACCGAAATTTTTACCATTTACCACATATACAGAAACCAGTGCACGTTTCCATAAATTACATTTAAAATATATGTATAAAAAAGAGCAAAATAAGACGAATAAAACGAAGAATAGGCAGAAAAGGGGAAACGAAAATTGTGCTCTAAGCTAGAACTAGTTCCAAAAAAATCGTTTGATATTTCTAGTAAAAGCTCATTTAAAACACATCTTAAACAAATTCAATTGAGTCCTACCTTAACTAAAGGCACTCCAAGAGAGACCTCTGCCATAGGTTCTCCCATCAGACAACTAATGATTATTTTTCTGCTATTCTGTATATAATTCATTCATAAAATACGCACGAATTCATGGGAAAGAGAGGAAGGGAGCAATGGTAGCGGCACGTACCGAATGTTGACAGCCATGGAGCCAAAGCACGTGGCCATCATCTAACCCGGCAACAGAACCGCACCATTCCCCTCGAACACCCTAGAGGAAGACAGGAAAAGCGGCGTCACTCTCTATACAAAATTTCCCAAACAAAGTCAGGAGAATTTCCCACTGTTTTCCAAACAGAGAGCACACCAGAGAGTGAGAGACACATCCAGAGAGCGTGAGCTGACTGACGCCAACGCCGACAGCAGCTTCGACTGCGACTGTTTTTCACTTGCTTTTCAGGCCCAATGGACCAGTTTGGAAAATTCGCACAATCAGTTTGTTTTGAAATTTTGCCGCGTTGCGTTCGCCACCAAAAGCCTGCTCCTCCCGCAAAAAACAAAACAAAAAAATAGTTCGAACAAAGATCAAACTAAGTTCATTCTAAATTTCAAACAAATAAAAATAAAATAAATATTACAACAAAAATATATAAATTATGATTAAATAAGCTGATCGATCGCTTTGTGTAAAATAGTCTAACCGATTATCCACACCTTTCATGGTTGAATTAAAATTATAATAAATATGTTTTTTTGTGCGAAAAACTCAATAATGAGATGGGGAAACACACATGTTCAAATGTGCAAAATGTTTGTTTGCAATTCAGCGGCACCTGTCAACTGCAGTTCTTTCCGTAAATAAATGAAAATCAACAACAAAAATTACTGCTAAAACAAAAACAAAAGGAAAATAAAAATGAATGAATAAAAACAAAATGTAAATTCACAAATAATGAGAAAATATTTTCAAACACGTGTGCCATTAGTGTTTGTGATTTTGTAGAAAGGCTAAAGTTAATGCTTATTAAACATCAGACATATTCCCATCAACATTTATTAAGGTAAATGTAATTTTCTCACTGTAAGGAGTTCTTAAATGCCAGAATTTGGAATCTTTGGAATCTATAAAACGGTAGGTTGTGGTTTTGGTAGATCAAAGCCGTCTTTTTATGATATTATATGACTTCCTCAGAAGTGTTGGTAGAGAAAGAAAGTGGAACACCTTTGTTCAGAATTTCTTTTCCAGAGTGCTTTTTAAATTTATCAAATTTTTTGTCAAGATTTTTTTGTTAAAATTCTTTTACAAAATGTTCTATTGTGACCAAAATGAATGCAGTTGGCTGGCTGCCTCGAACTTCCTAGAACTTCCTTCCCCAAAGGAAGTTTCATTTCCCCGAAAAACCGTACTAGTTTTCGTAGTGTTCTTTAGTTCCTCCCTAAATTTCAATTGTTGAAGCTAAATGCCAGACACGTTTCGTGTTAGTTTAATCAAGCTAAAGCGAAAAAATAAGTTAAATACAAAGAAAACAGGGCACGCAATGGTTTCAAATGCAAATTAATTAAAAAAAGCTTCAAGGGCTTTTGCAGGTGTAAGATATACATAGGTGTTTCTGTGTGCGTTTTGTTCGCTCGCATTACGAAATGGAAAACGAAAACAGTGTGTGGAAGGAAGAACCACCGGAAATCAAAGCAGAGCTAAATTCGTGTAGGAAAAAGTACTCCCTTTCCCAACCCTCTCATTATGTAATTAAATGTAAATTTTCACGTCTCACCATGAGTCACCCTCGAGTACGATTGGTAATGAAAAGCAAATAACATGAACAGGAACAATTTCCAGTAAGTCACACAGCGAAATGACAAATGTGGAAAACTGCCCAAGGAAACCGATTTTTTTTGAGGGATCAAGCGAAACGAAGAAAATTAACTTAAAGTTAGGTTCCTACCTCAACGTTGTCCGTCCGTCCTTTTCCGTATCCCGTATCTCAGATCTAGCCCCCGAAACCTTTTGTGGGCCGACGACTCACACATGATTACTCACATGTCAGCAAAAGGGAAAAAGAAGATTTATTGCCAAGAAACCGAAAACCAAATGTTTGCCATTTCTCTTTGTTTTCGGTTACCTTTTGTTTTCCCCTCTAGGACCTAGGGCTTTCCTATTGCACCTTTCCACCTTTTCATGCTCATTTGCTTTTCTTTTTTGGTCGCTTGTCAGGAAATTAAACTATTAGGCTTTTTTGCTACAGATGCCTGGGCAGCAGCAGCAGCACCAGTTCCTGCTGATGTGCGTAAACTGTTAATGAGACATAAAGAACATGGATGAAATTATGCCTAGATCTAGGGACAGATCCTGCTATCAGGACCACAGCTGTCATTAAGATGAAGCGAATGCCATTTTCTTTGGAACCCGTAGACAAATTCGGCCAGATAAGTGAAACAGCCGTAAAAGTTTAGTGGACCAAATGAACATAAACTGCCGCAGATTAACTGACAGTAATCCTTTTTTTTTTGTCGCTTCTCTAGTTCTCTGAGGTGTTTTACTCCCCGTGTGAGAATGTTTGAGTCATCTTTAAGCCTGGTTTGTGCCCGCATTCCAGGTCTGTCAGCAACAGGCAGTAAAGTTATGACACTTTTGACTCAAGTGCAGGACATAATCATAGGGGTTTGGGCGTAGGTAAGGACTTTGGCAATGAAATTGCTGCGAAAGATGGGTGGGAGATGGGTCTAATTCTCCAGCATATCTTTTATGTCTTACCTTAAATGATAGAACTGGATAAATGTGCCCCGATTCCAAGATTTCTACATTTATATTCTTAATTCAAAAATTTCTTGAAATTTCCCATTAAATTGTTTTATTCATTCATTCCAAATGTTTGTATTTTTTATGCACTTCAGCAGATTTAATTCCATTTATTATCTACTTTTGTTTATTGCCGATACACAACTGCAAAACTGATTTACAAAAACACTTTCCAAAATATACTGATGGATATATTCATGTCTTTCAACTGCAAATTTACATTGCTCGTATGGCTATCGATCAGGCATATCCGCATGAGCTTGCTTATACATACATGTATCAAGATTCAATCAACACAAACCATATTTTATATGGCAATCAAATTTCTTAAATATTTTGACCATCCCATCATCGTCTTCATGCTAGCCTGGGGCGTGCGGCAGGGAAAAATAAATAAATTCAAGCACAAGTATAATCATTTATCTCTCTCGGGGCCTCATTCCATTCTATTTATCCAAAGATACTTGTACTCGTTATAGATTTATGTGTGTCTATTTGTATGTGCGCAATCTGAAACAATTGAACAGAAAAAGAAGCACATTTTTGAGCCCAGAGCGTGGATATTGCATTCAATTTAAATTCATTCACGGCAATCCCCCACAACCCGTTCCCATACCTATAGCCATATAATTTGACTATATAATCGCCTTAAAGTAAAGTGGTATATTTTATGACGGCGGTGTTAAAAATTTAATGCCCCAAACAACTTTTCTATCAACTTTTGAGTTAGATCCAATCAAAAATGTGATACATAAATTCAGAACAAACAAATGTGAAAACTAAGGCCTGGAGATTGGAAATGTGTTGTACCCTGTAGTTTAAAGTTTTTTATTCTAACTTTATTCTACTTCAAATTTATCTATTGATATTAATAGGCACACCAAAGAAGATAATCCTTAAACTCGAATTCGAATTTTATTTCGTTCTGAAGGACCGCAATGAAAGAGCCAAAAATCAATCATCTTAAATATTGAACAAGTACCTTTTTTCTAGGCTAGTTATATTTATAAAATATTATTGAATGTAGTTTTTATTATATTGAAATTGTTATTCATATATACATAGATTTTTAGATGGTTTTTTATAAAACATTTTCATCCAATGATTCCATCCTCTTGTTAATTTGTTTAACAGCAAAAATGTGTTTTAGTTGGGCATTTTTGAAATACCGAAACAACAAGTTTTCTGTGGGTTGGTTTTAGTTTAGGTTGGGGTCCCGGTCTGGGCCTATGCCTCAGACATCTTTCTATCCGTTAGATCGATGAACTGACGCCAGCAATTAATCGTCTTGCCTGCTGCTGACTTTGAGCAATTGTGCAAACATTCCTATGCCAAACGGGTAGTTGAAAGATATGCGAGTATGTATGGCTGCCTTTTGGCTAATTGATGGCTTATCATTTAATTGGCTGCTGTGTAAATTGCAATCACGAGCAATCGAACATCAGCAATCAATAAATATTATTAATAAATTATTCAATAAGTGTGACCTCTTGCCCGTCAGCAGGTTTCCATGATGATTTGTCATTTCGTTCAGCCTCCCTATTTTCCATTTACTTTTATTTAAATGAATTTCCCATCAGAATTTGTTGTATGCTTCCGCTGGCCATCAAACATTTTCATTTTATTTTATTTCACTTTTTTCGCGCTCATTTGTGTTTCCTTTTTTTCTCTGTTGGATTTGTGCAAATATGCAAAATGATTGACAGCACAATTAAGACACCGCCAACGAGGGAGTTTGTCTGGGTAAGAGCATGGGGCACGAGGCATGAGGCAGCGACAGAGACAGGGGCACGCTGCAACCTTATATGGCTGCAAAAGTTTTCATTATTTAAACGCGTCACAGAACATATGTAACATTAGACAATGGATGCTTAACTTGAAATGGAAACGGTTTCTATTGCAACGAAGATGGTATGCTCTTTATAGACAAAATATTAAAAGCTTCATGAGATGCAGAAATGAAATTAAAGCCCAGCTACGAGCCATCATGCTACACTCTTTGTATACACTTTTTATTAAGGAATCCTCCACTTCTAGCAACACACTTTCAAGTCTTATTCAGAACAACTTTGAAGACAAAACTTTCCCGGACAAGTTTAGACTATTTCCATAATCCATAAGAGTATTCAAACTTTTTGGCATACATAAACTTTCTTTGACAGAAAACTGCATTCAATTCGCAATGGTACTCCCACAAAGCAGCTGCTAACATCTTCTTAGAAAAGCAGCAAGTCACCAATGAGGGGACAGCTCTCACGGGAGGCAAACAATCAGTCCATTCTGAATTTGTTTATCAAAACTATCCTAAATTGTAGTTTGTCTTTCCCCCTTAGTGTTTTTAATCAAAAAACTAATATTCGTAGAAATTATAACAGAAAGGTTTGCAAGACTACAAACCAATTTCAAAAAAATGGGTGCTACCAACAGTAAGCCCCACTCCGCAGAAATAGTTAATCCCCACCCATTTCAAATCACTCGTGAGGTGGTGGAGCGCCTTGAACAGGCCCAGGAGCAAAAGGTAAAGACATTAGAAAGATCTAACACTTGCGAGCAGTGCAAGGACCAGGGTCAGTCTGTTTCCAGTTCGGGTGATGCTCCACCCACTTTGGACCACCAGTCGAAGGCTATTCCGGAGGCTGAAACAGTGGCGTGGTCCTGGAAGAAGCGCGCAATGGAGATGGAGGAAGACCACTTTGAAGAATCTGTGAAGCGTGTAAAGGAGGTCTTTGGCACTCCGGTGAAGTGGTCCCAGGACATCGACGGCGAAATCAAAGAGATGGAGAAAGAATTGACCACTTGCTACAGGGAGAATCCCTACGAGACCCTTCAGTGTGAAGCATTGGCCAAGCAGTATCATTCATTTATTTTTACCAACCATTTCAAAGCCATCTCCAAGCTGGAACCAAAAGAGCCGAGACCAAAGTTGTCTCGAGTGCCCAAAGAGCTCGTCCAGATCGGAGCCAATAAGTAGAACAGCTCTGAGCCTATTTTGGATATAGAGAACTGACCGAGAACGATGCGATGCGAGTCCTTGTCATAATCTGACAATCCAAGCCAAAACACTGTCCAATCACATAAATATAAACTATTTGACCAAACAAACGCCACATTCCCCACATGGCTTCAATTTTACCCGCATCAGTTATATTTAATTATAAATAAAATGCGTTAAACGACAGCAATTGACTTAATTCAACGAAAATTAGTTGCAGTCGGGTAAGAATGATTTTATTTGGCTTATGTCCGACGTATAGGCTGTTCTTTTATTAGCCTTGGCCGATTGCCAGCAAACACAAAACGTTGTCAAACAACTGAATGACAACAACATGGCTGAAATGAAAGCCAGAACGTGAAATATGCATAAATAAACGAGAGGAAACGTTGTGAGGAACGTCTTGGCCGCGCATCTACCCGGTACTCAGAAAGTTTATTTGTGAGATTTAGATTTGATTTCGAATTATAAAATATTATATTTGTTTACATTTGTTTGCTAGGCCTGCCACATACATCTACATCACTTCCCACATGAGCACTTCTTCATCCTCCTCCAGAAGGCGCACACTGCACAGGGCAGAGTGTATGAGCGAGAGAGCGAGTTAGTTTCCGATGCATCGCTGTCAGTGAGTGGGGGTTGGTTAAAAGCTGTGAATTATTTTCTTCCTTCTGGCTATAATAAAGATCGGATCCTATTCAGCTTGGGCAGTCACATAGATATTATCATTCTCTACGATACTACGGTTTTGGTGTGTACCTTTTTTCTCGTATCTTAAAAATTGGGAATGGCACAGATTTTCATCTATATGTATCCACGAGGCCACTAATATTGACCAAGAATGTGGGGTCGGAAACGTTTCCTTCTGTGCGCTACGCACATCACTTCGGCCACAAATATAATATCTTATATACCCCTTAACTCTTCCAGTACCGGGTATAGAAGCCAACACGCGTTTCTTTCACTTTTCTCCCTCTCTGACTCTTGCTGTCTGGCTGTTTGCTTATGAACAACTATTTCTGTGCACAATGTGACGTATGGGCAGTGTTTCAGTACAGAAGCAACTTGCAGCTTTTCATACCTGGCATTTTAAACACATCTCAGGTGAGAATGCGCTTCTAAGTGAGTGGCCCGTCCGCTGTAAGGGTGGGGTGGTGCATGGGGAGGCGAAAAGTGCAGTACCAGGTTTTGGCAGAGAACAAGACTTGGCTCTGCGGCTGCGGCGAGCCTTGAACTACTTTGCGCCACAATGTCTGGCTCAATGTGCATTAGTGCAACTTGCACTTGCCACCTACCAAATGACACAGCTAAGGACATAAACAGGACGGAGGCTCTTTCTCTGTGGCCATAGAATATAGGGATTTAAACTCTCATTGCATGGAAGCCATCTTTTGAATGTAATTAATCTGCAAGTTAAGTTTCCTTTCGTTTTGAATATTTTATGTGTTAGTCAGTTAAGCCTTATTCTGAGTATCAGTCTCAGTTTTCATTATACATATACAAACGTACTCGCGTCTGGCCCCAATTTAAGGCCTCCGGATAAAATCAAGATTTGTAATAGAAAAATATAATAGAGATAAAAATGCATACTGCATGACAATTGTATCTTCGTCCACTACTTTACGGCTGAGATTTCTTTCGTTTCTAATGGCCTCCATTGTCTCCATGGTCTCTATTGGAATATAACAGTGTTTATAGATTTAGAAAACCCTTTTCCCAAAACCCCTGCAAGAGTATTCCCTCTTCCGGTTATCCCCGAAACTTTTGTTAACACAAAAACACATTCCATATGCAATGCCAAGGACCTAAATCATCTTCCAACTCCTTGCGGGAGCCCAAAGTTGCTTGTGCTTTCGTTGTACTGATTTTCCACACACATTCTCATACCAGTGCATGCAATAATTTTTGGGCCTTACACATGCCACCATAAATCTGCTGAGTAAATGTTCTCACATCGCATAGCTGTAATGCCAGAAGTTGTTAATGATGTTGTTTCCCGTTTTTGGGAAATTTGATTTTGAACATTAAATTAGCATCCCACACCTAAAGCAAACAGAACAGTTTTGAAATTATTTATGCAAATTGAATTCAAGCCAAGAAAAGTCAATACGAGAAACTATCGTCTGAATCTCTCGATGACACACAAACCTCATCGTTCCCTCTAGAGTTAAGTGGCTACGAGGTCAAGGGGCAGCCGGCTATTAGCGCCCAATGACAGAATCGTTTGCCAAGCGATATCTGATGCGTTTTTGATTGAGCTATTGGATAAACCAGGCAAATAGTTGAGAGCTGTCAATGTCGCCCAGCATTCGCATTTAAATGCAGTTTTCATGTAGATTTTCCATATGAACCTACTCGTACACATGTATGTCTCGCTCATTGACATCAGTTTTCACAGTTTGTGGAAATTGATTGGGAAAAAGTGAAACCAATTGAAATATTAGCGAATCAAATATGCTTATTTTAATTTACTTTATCTGTGACTAATGCGTGGACAGCTTTAAGTTGGTGAATGCAGATAAAAGTAAAGCTAACGGGTATTACGACTATGAGTTTCCCTCTACACACACTCTATTGTCTAATAAATCATTTATATGCCAATTGGTAAAAAGTTGATGTGAAATTCATTTGCAGCTCTACAAAGATGTCAGAAATGAATACGCCAACATTTGGTGCTTTAGTTGCTTAGTTCCATCGGCTAGAATCCAATAAACCCCTTAGCTCTTTGCCACGGGCTACATTGCCAAAAAATTGAATTCATTTGTTAAAATATTCAGTCGAAAATCCACGTATTGTTCGCCATTCATTCTCATAATCCCTGCATTGCCCTAACAGAGCTCTCACTCTCTCTCCATTCCTGTGGCAGGTTCAATGCTCGTTGCACAATTCAAATCTTTCATATCTGCGACACTTCTTTGTCGCCGCATTTTTGGGTTCATTTGTTTCGATTTCGTTGTCGGTTTGCAACGCCTGGCATGTTTCCAGGGTGAATATCTTACCGTTCAACTTTAGTGCACTCTTTCGGTTCATTTACATTTCGGGGGTTGGTCGAGCCGTCGCCAGACAGCCAGATTAATAGAGTGGCATATATCTCCTTCTATATACTTGTTTGGGGAGAAGGGGACTTGTTCCATATCTTAGTGCTGCCATCGCCATTAAAGCACACAAGTTATTAGGAAAATGCGTGTGGTGCGATGTACCGAAAAAAAATACCCAAAATACCGAAAATACCAACACGTAAAAAAGGAAAATTTATTGATGCACACTTCCGCAAACACACAACCGCAAAAGCAAGCCAGCCCGACACCAAAGAGCAGCGGCAGTAGCAGCAACAACAACAGGAAGCCATGTGCTGGAGCAATAGCAAAAGAACAGCATTAAAAATTCATTAAAAGTTCTATAGAGAAACGGCTGATACTCTAATCCAAACAGAGAGCTCCCATCAATATAGAAAGTTTGATAAACAATCGCAGGGAGCTCTGTTTTTTAGAAATCGATTAAATTAGAGTTCGATTTTTATTAGTTGGCCAAACGCTAACCCATAGTCTTGATACTCTCATAGCAAAGCCAAAGCAATTTGAAGGGCAAACATTTATAAAACACTTTTGGTCATTTCTCTTCATTAACTGCATACCAGGCGAGAGAGCCAGCAGTGCGAGGAGCTCGTCCTTAACCATTTTCCTGTCTCCTTCGCACTCGCACTCATCTGCGAGGATTTCGCTGTGCCTTTGTGTATCTGGGGAGTGAGTACTGTAGCCGTAGGCCAACGAAGAAACCGCTTAATGAAGTTTTCTCGCCGAAAATTCTTGTCGGCCACTTGATTGTCGGACATGCTGTAATTGATGATGAGGGATGCGTGGAGTGGTGGCTCAGGAGGATAGGTTCTAAGAACGACTGGAGCAACGACACTTTTGACAAGTCCCTCAGACCAGAACCACTTCCAATTAAGTTTGCCATCTTTTCTGGATCATCTTTTGTGTGTGCTAGCGGGTGCGCAAAAGTGTTTTGTTACATAAATGTGTTACAATTAATTTATTTGTAATACCGTACGATGCTGCCACTTGGTCATTCCCCCATCCAAAAGAAAGAGTATTCAAATTCATTAAACATAACCCTTAAATGTTGTATTTCTCTATAAATAAAGTGAAATTTTAAACCAGAGAAAACGTGTGAAAGAGATGCAACAAAATGCAGCGGCCTGTTAATAACTAATTGCATAATTAACCGCAAGCTAAACCACACCCACGAGTGCCGACAGCAACAGTAACTCGAACAATAGACATCAGTGGAAAGAAACAATGTTAATACAGTTGGTCAATCACTCGTAAAAATAGAATACTAGAAGCAATAAGAAATTGAGACCAGGTTGTTAGTCACAGATCACTGGGGGCAGTACGTGTACGAGTACGAGTACGAGTCCGAGTAGCATTCCACTTTTAATCAATACTTTGCTCATCAGTTGAGCGCTGCAGTGCGGTGCTGTGGTGTGGTTGAGACACATAAGCCATAAGACAAATATTGAATTACAAGTAAATATTATTTTTCCTACTTTTATTGTAGTTTTGCATTCAATGTTTGCTCGTGGCAGTCATGGTCCAATAATGTTGGCACTGAAGCAAGTTTTTCCGTGCCTTGCTTGCTTGTTTGTGGCTTTAATTTGAGTTTTGTCGTATTCAAATAATGATGATATTCAGTGACAAAAGAGACTTTATGTGAACTTTAATATTAATGTTCATGATTTCTTTCTTCTACTTTAAACCCGTTCTCACAATTTAGAGATATGTATTTTACTTTGTTAGACATTCCGTTCAGTTCTATCAATTTCTTACAGACTTTTTCTTCTCTTTGGTGCTTGAGATTGTGTAAAGATTTGTTTTGGTCTCGGTCCACAGAACGAAGTCGTTATTTTTTTTTTTGCAAACAGAGACTTTACTTATGGCACTCGGCCTGGTCCTACGCTGCATTCCCAACATAGAAACACACACACACACATGTAAAGGGAAAAAGTGTTGACTGTCATTATAGGGACTTCACCATACCCTCTATCAGACTCGACTTTAAATTGCAGCGACATCATTAAAGCCTCTCTTGGCATGAGAATGCAAAAGGTGGATATGGATATGGAACAGCGGTAGCGAGCGATGCCACTGTGTGAGTCACCACTCAAATTAAGTCGGCAAAGTGCACTGTCAAAGCGCGTTTCATATGCATAAGGGATTCCTGCTCCTCGTACCTTACATATATCTCCTCTTTGTGCCATAGTCTCTCTTTATCCCTTTCTCTGTGTGTGGTGGATGGCCCAGTTCGGGGCCTGGATGGGTTGACGTTACCCAGGCGACAAATCCAATTCAAAACATACCTCTCACGCTGACAGGGAAATCATAAAGCAAACCAAAACCAAAATTGCAAAATAACTGCGCTTTTCAAAAATCAAAAACAAAAACCTGCGATGGTACGCGCTTCTAGTGCTATCCTCAGCAGACCGAAGCACGAGTGCCCTGAGGGTGTGCAGGAGGTGTGCCCGAGGAGTTTAGTCAAAGGTTGCAATAGTGTCGGGCATAACAGACATCCACTAGAGATATGTCCTTATGGATGAAGCGAAAAAGGAAGAGGTTTCAAAACGATTTTTGTGTATAAAGATCCTTTAGGGTTGCCCAAGCGAAAGGATAGTCAGTAGTCTTTTGGGAAGTACTGCAAAAGAGCAAATTTCATATAAATAAATAAGCTTCTAACAAAATGGGACACTTTTCTGCAACGCCTTGAACCAAAAAGCGTTGAAATAAACCCATAGATAATTATATAAATATTTCATATCCCATCTGAAATCGCATTACCTGCTTGAGAGCCACAACAACGCGAATGCAACCCATTTATTTTCATTTTTGTTAGGTAAAGAAAGAAATTCTCATTTTCACCATACGCCAAAAATTGCAAATGGCGGCAGCATTGCGGATGCGTTTGTGTGTGTGTGGTTTTGTGGGTGAAGGTCCGTCGGTGGCTGTAATGCCACTGCACTATAAAATCCCCCACTGTTGCGGTTGATTGGCCAAATCACTTGCCTGCGATTTTTGCACTTTTTCATGCCACGATCTCCTGTTCCTCTGCCAACATGTTTGCACAAAAAATGTAGTGATTTTGATTGAACAAAATTCTATGGAACAGGGGCCTTGTATGTATGCCGCGTGACAAAATTTGCAAGCAATTTGTTGTCAAAGTTTGGGGCATAATTTAAATTAGTTTGGCCATGTAAAAAGTTAACCAAATGCAGCTCAATCTTTGAGCTACAGTGCATTTTTAATTAACTTTTCACGAGTATGAGACTCATTACCAGAACGGCAGGGACAGCAGGGACAGCAGGGACAGCAGGGACAGCAGCATACGCGTATTTTTTCTAGTGAATGGCGAACAAAGTGCGCAGGGAAAGAAAAGCCATTTTAGGCGTGGGAGTGACGCTCTTACAAAAGCTCTAGTGAAGGCTGACGCCTGACACACTGTAGAAGAGGGTGTCTGAAAGGCAGACAGCGAAGCGTGATGGCGAGCGTGGGACCTTTTGTTGGCCGTGGCATTTCAAGCGAATTCAAATTCGAGTCAGCAGCATCCCCATGTTGACACTGCCATCCTTATAGTCACAGTCATCAACATCATCATCATCATCATCATCATCAGAATCAGAAGTAGGGAAGGCAGTGGGAGGGTCATACCACGATGCATTCCATTGAGCTCAACTCTTCAGCTGTCGGCTATTGACAGGCCAAACAAAAACATATTTGAAAATATGGCTCTCTCTGTTCTCTGTGGGCGCATTTTCATTTCTGTGACTAATTAAGCAACTCTGTGAAAAGTTGCCCACTAATTCCCTGTGGAAAATATCACTAACAAAGTTATTAAAGGTCTCAAAAAAAGTCATTTAAGTGTTAAGTTTTAAAAACCGATATTATAAATGAAGTAAAACACATTTAATTCCCATATATGTTTTTTCGAAAGTGGCTTAGGTATGTGTTTTAAATTATTATCCTCCAGCTTTGCCAGAGTACAAGTACAGCCTCTGTTGTTTCAGATATAAATATTTGTACTTAAATCTTGCCTTAAAACATGTTCTTGTAAGTTGTTCTCATACATTTTCTTTACTTAACTGCAAGTGTAAATATTTGCTCCTACTTTCTTACGCTTTTGCTGTCAGGCCTTGGGCCAGTTTGTGAAGAGAAAAAGTCTTATATTTTACAGGCCGTATAAGCCCTTTTATTAAAGGCTTACTTAAGTTTAAGTGTAAGGCTGCTAGCCCTTCTGTAAATGTAATTTAATAAATGGTTTAAATTCTTGTTGCAGGCAATCCTTTAGCACTCAAAAGAAACAACAGCCGTGGGAGGGAAAACAACATCAATTCCAGAGAGAGTTGTTGTTGTGGTCAAGTGTGCCGCACAGCTTTAGAATGAAATGGAGATGCAAAGCGACTCTGGTCATGGACCAACGACACCATCAACAGCGGCAACCACAGGAGGAGCAGCATTCGCACCGAACACTTTCAATTGTCGCCTGGAAGAGGCGGCTTGGTCTGAGGTCTGGCAGCCGTTTATTAACTGCAAAGCGTATCATGCTACCAGCTATCCAGATATCCCACCCACCAACAGCAGTAGCAGCAGCGACGGCAGCAACATCCTCATCAACAGCATCAGCAACAGCAGCCATACATTCCAGTGCACCAAGCAGACATTCAATCGGGCCGAGCAGACAGCATTCTATAGATGCCAGGGCATGGGATGGGAGCCAGAGGCGGAGGCCTGCACGTCGAGGCTAAATGCACGACTGTTGCGAGTGGTCCACGAGGCGTATGAGCAATTTCGACTGGCAATCAACGAGGCCCTCAGTGATAATGCGAGTGATACAGTTAGTTATAGTTCGAACTGCAGCAGGAACAGTGAGGATGGGGATGGGGTTGGGCATGCGGATGAGCTCCTCTGTGAGGTGGGCCAGGAGCAGGACACATTTCAATGCCACATGCAGCAACGGGAGCGGGAGCGGGAGCGGGAGTGGATGGAAGAAGAACAGGGCTCAGGCGAAAGTCTATTGGATGCCTTCACCAGCGGTGACTTTCAAATTGAGCTGGGCAACAGACAGGTGGACGGTCTTTGGTCCTTTCTCAACCTAAGCGATGTAATGGGCCCTGCCAACGACACGTTCAGCCTCTTCAATGGCAGCAGCAGCACCAGCACCAGCCTGGATATGATTCTCTCCAACTACACCGCGCTGACCACAACCACAACAGCCAGCACCACTTCCACTGACATTGTAATCTCAAAGAGCTTTCTGGACTATAGTCCACACGGCTACGATTGGCTCTTCCTGTTTGTGGTATTCTTCATCTTTGCCGGGGGCCTGGGTAACATTCTGGTGTGCCTGGCCGTCGCATTGGATCGCAAGCTTCAGAATGTTACCAACTATTTTCTCTTCTCGCTGGCCATAGCCGATCTATTGGTCAGTCTCTTTGTGATGCCCATGGGAGCGATACCAGCGTTTTTGGGTGAGTATTCGGAACTTTCCGCTCTCCTGTTTGATTTCTCTTCCTTTCTCTTCTCGTATTCTTGTGTTTGCCTTTGCTAGCTCCCTCAAGTACTCAATCATCCCTTTTCTTCGAGTGTACTTCAGCAATCAAGTGGTAATGCAAGTCAGCGGCTAATGCATTTGCACATGAATTATTTCGACCCCCTTCACCCACTCAGAGCCATTGTCATGATATGTTAGCCTCGTTGGCTGTTTCCGCTTTGGCTCACTTACAGCAAAATGCAGCAGTGGCAAATGCCGAGAGCCCTGAACCTCTGGCAGAAGCAGCAAACTAGAATGACAAACGCGTGACTTTCCGTTGGATGATGTTTGAATTTTGAATTTATTTGTTTCCTTTTTCGCGGTTTTTTTTTATTCCCGAGCGGCAGCTGTAAAAACTTGAGTGAGAAAATACGAATTCATTTCCCCAAAGATCACTTCAGCAATTTAATATATTTTCCTACATGGCCAACCGATTTTAGTTTTTTTTCCGTTTAGCTTACAATGAAATCTCTTTTTTCTAATAAAGAGAAAAAACCTTGTCGGTTTATTGAAAATAGAGCAAAAAAATCCCTACTCATGGCCTGTTAAATATGTAAAATGTTCGGTAAACATATTCAAACTCAGAGTAATTTGCATATGACACTGATAAAACCTGAAAACAAAGTCCTTACCCACAGCAGCAGCCAACACAGGGAAGGGAACGAACCCAGCGTAGCATAAACAGATCAAACGTTTGCATAAATTAAACGTATGCCTGGTACATTCATCGCATAGATCCCCAACCAAAAACCAAAAACCAAACCCACAACCAGAACCAGAACGAGAACCAGAAGCACCATCAGAGCCAGAACCAGAACCAAACCCAGAACCCATCGCATGTAAATGGATTGAGTGCCAGTCCAAGCACATTAACAACATTAGGGGAAAATTCATTTTGCTCATAGAGCGCATTAGTTTAGTCACTGTGTGCTGACATTTTATTTATGTAAAGTCTACTTTTAGGTTCTGGCCATTATCCCGGGGGGAAGTTGTCAGGAGATATACGAGTACATATGAGCAGGCAGAAAAGAGAGACAGAGAGAGCGCTATTCCAAATATGCTTTAGTCCTGGTAGAAGAAGATGCACACTTCGAATGGGAAACATATTTAAATCATTACTTAAATTACAGAAGCAGTCGTCTCTAAATTGTTCAAATAATTCAATGTATTCGGCAAGTTATGATTCTATGACTTAAGGGGATTTTAAATGGGTTTATTCTTAGTCCTGTTACAGTTTATATTGAACAAAATGCAATCGAAATAAAAGCAACTAGCTTAAACATTTTCCTTCCATATAGCTTCTGGTCTTAATCTTTTGCTATTCATGTTTCTTAGTGTTGGTTTTTGGTTGCACTTTGGCCACGCCACATTTTATGGCAGCTTTTTTTGTATTTCGTCCTTTTATTGTGCCACTTTGCGTGGCTGAGGGCTGAGGAAAAAGATGCCATACTTTTGTGTGTTTGTGTTTTTTGGCGGGTATTTTTTCGTGTGCCTGGCTGCAAAGTAGACTACAACAATAAACTAAATGCAACTAAAAGCCTTAAGTGTGTTTTTAGCCTGGCCAAGAGCCTGGCCCAACAATTAAGCTGAAAATGGGGCCAGTCATCCAGTCATCCAGCTAGCATTCTTCTGTGTGGATTTTAGTTTGTATCAACATTGCTTATTGTTAAGCCGTAGTTGGCTTAGACCCCCATTCACCCCCACTGACAAGCAATTTGAACTTTTGTGGAAAACTCAGGCCAGACTTTCGGTCTGGCTTTCTGCACCGTCTGACTTTCCATTGCCACATTAACTTTTGTTTTTTTTGGGGAGTCCAAAGCCATTAAAAATTATTTTATAGATATTATATTTGAAAAGTGAGTGGCTTTTGGATAAAAATAAAACCAGAGGCAGGTTCCGTCGAGTCCGTAAAAAAAGGGCTGGTGGAATTATCAATTTCTAGGATATCATGGAGAAAAGGAAAAAAAAAGCGATACAGCCAAAACGAGTGATACATTGCCATTGGATGAACAATTATTATCTATGCTTATACGAGTAATTTCAATATTTTCCAAGCGGCTTAATCAACAACTGAGGCAGACCTTTTCCATCTGCAGTTTCCAGCTATTCTAACATTTATTTGAGGCACTTATGTCTGCCCTTCTACAACTTCAGGGGTTGAGCAAATGTACCACATGTCCTGTGCGTAATAAATACATTGACAAAGCCCTCACACTTCCTTACACACTTTTGTTTGTCTGTCTCTCTGTTCGTTCGACTGTTTGTGTCAGTGACAAGCATATAAAACTAAATACGACATGATGGTCTACCACTGCCCTTCTTCCTTCCTGCAGCTTCTATTCTACTTATATGCTTTTGTTGTGTGGCAAGGACCCTCATGTGTCTGTGTCTCTGGCCAAACAGCGTGTAAAAACCAGCCCAACGCCCAACGCATTTAAGCGCAATTTGTACTAATTAATACGGAATTTGCCATCGAGTGGAGAGAGAGAGGGAGAGCGAGCTATTCGTAAATAGATCCCCGACTGCGCTGCGGCAATCGAGTTTGCTCTGTGTTCTGTTATTCCCCCAAATGAGTGCTCGAGCTGCCCGGATTGTCGCCCAGCTCCATCGATGTCAAGGTGAATGAGTCAGTCGAGTGGTCTGTAACGGACTCTGAAATGAAATGAAATGGAAAAGAATCGCTGACATAAGAATGTTGTTTAATTAAGGTGGAAAGTGGTTAGACAGATAATATATCGGATATATTGGATATTTATAAAAACAAATTAAAGCTTTGCTTTAGGGTTAATCATCCGAACCTTAAATTAAAGAGACTTCACTCAAAAAGTTCGACTTAAAGTCAAAGAGAGACTTTATCTGGCTATCCATTCATGCAGTAAATCACTCAGTTTCACTTTGACTTTCATTTGCCAGCCTAGGCCCATCAAATTGTCATATCCAAGCGTAACAAACTTGCAACACCACCACTAGCAGTTGTCCTGACGACCACGATTGTGGGCTCTGGTCTTTGGATGCACATAAACCGCAATAAACAATTCCATTTTCAACATTTCACTTTGTCATTCATGGTTTCTCTAACCGGTTTTTCGGAGCTATGCCATTTCAATTAACTTTGATTTGTGCTGGCAGTTTGATGACGAAAGGTTTTCCACTGACTGCCATTGCCCTTTGCATTTTGATCCTTAATTGAACTCTGTTTTTCCGTCTGTTTTTCCCTATGTTGTGTAGGCTATTGGCCACTTGGTTTTACCTGGTGCAACATTTATGTGACCTGCGATGTGCTGGCCTGTTCATCGAGCATCCTGCACATGTGCTTCATCAGCCTGGGGCGATATCTGGGCATACGTAATCCGCTTGGGTCCCGGCATAGATCTACAAAACGTTTGGCTGGCATTAAGATAGCCATTGTCTGGCTGATGGCCATGATGGTCTCCAGTTCGATAACAGTTTTGGGTAAGTATTCGGCACATTCCCCTTGCTACTCCTAAGTAGTTAATAACAACCGTCATTTTTGTGTGCATTGTACAGGTTTGGTCAATGAGAAGAACATTATGCCGGAGCCGAATATCTGTGTCATCAACAATCGGGCGTTCTTTGTGTTTGGCTCGCTGGTTGCCTTCTACATACCTATGCTGATGATGGTCACCACCTATGCCCTGACCATACCACTGCTCCGCAAGAAGGCTCGATTTGCAGCCGAACATCCAGAGAGTGAATTGTTTCGAAGGTGAGTAGGAAGGAGTGCTCCAAATTCCAATGTCATGTCCACGTGGACATTGCAACACAATCGGAACCCAATGCAGACGTAAAGAGGAAATAAAAACCAATTCATTTTAATTATCAAACTCCCGTTTGGTGTCCAGCCAATCGATATCCATCAATTATTCTACATGAAGATGGGAGATGGGAATCTGTCTCTAGCAGAACTTTTCCTTGTGCGGAACCAAATTTCCGTCAACGTTTTTTTTCGTCCTTCCCTTAAACGTTGCAATTTTTATTCACTGATTGACTGACAGAGGGGCAATCAAAGCCGGGCCAAGCGCTGCAAATTAGCCTTAACTCAATCAGGTTTCATCGATTCACCTCTCTTTCGTGTCTCGTATCTCTCCTTTATAGGCTGGGCGGACGCTTCACCATAAGGCCGCAGCATAGTCAGCAACAGTTGCAGATGCACAGCAGCTTCAGCAGCAGCAATAACAAATTCCTGCCCATGAGTGACAGCAATCGAAATTTTAACAATGCTGGAGGTGCCGGTGCCGGCTCAGATCCTGTAGGTGGACCAAGAGGCAACAACAGCATGGATGCCACCGAACGTCCATTGATGCAGCAAAGAACGACAAGCAGCCGCAGCATCGGGACTGTCAGCTTTCGCAATGTCGCCAATGGTGGAGGTGGCAGTAGCAGCGGAACTGGTGGAGGAGTCGCCACCAGAGGTGGACTAAGTGGTCGCAACAGTTTCCGTTTTTCTGGAGGTGGCATCTTGCGTCATTCGTCAACACCCGTCTCGGGCAGTACCTCCGCCGGCTCCTCAATACGTGCCACCAGACCCCACTCGAATAGCTTCTGGCGCAAACACGGAGGCAATCCCAATCTAATGGACAGGTATGTTCTTACCACAACATAGCATTAATTAGAGCGAGAACTCCCAACCATCCCGCTTAGAACTAGAAGAGCCACACAGCATTGATTTGCGGTGACGCCTTAGGAAAATGGCCTTTTACCATTTAATTGGATTTGCTGTTGGCCTACAGTTATGGCGAAGCACTGTCCGATGCTGACTCGACCACAAATCGAAATCATCCATGAAATTAAAAGTCATTGCGGTCTAACCGGACAAAACCCATCGGCAATGACAAATCTCAGCCACAAAAATCCGAAACTCCCCAATCAATGCCCAGAGCTTCCTCCCGACAGAACGAAAAGGGAACCAGAAAAAACATGATTATTATCTCCCGAGCATACAAAAGCTTTTATATTTATTACATTTGTTTTACAACACTTCTCCTTCCGGATAAATGGTTTAGGGCGCCATTCGGACCAAGTTTTTCCGACTACTTTCCTTAAGGAAATTTACATAATTTACAATACATTGTAAGTGCCAAGCGGTTTTCGCTCCTTGTTGTTTGACTTTGCTTGTGGCCTGAAGCGATATTATGTTTATTCCCTCTGTAGCTTTTCTTTGTGGCCATTAGTTTTGGGCTTAAAGAGGAGGAACCCGCGGCCGCTTCCTGCCCTAAGTAGCCATCCCTTCCGAACAATCAATTACAATCATCTTCTTGTAATTAAATGCACATTCAAAAGCTGTCGCACAACATGGCGTATACATAATGTGCACCAGCCTTGCCCTGAACATAAATCACTCACACGTCATGCGGTGCAGCGAGGCAAACAGCAACAAAAAAAACACACACAAAAAGGAAAACATGCAAACACGAAACGGTTTGTCGCCCTCGCACTTCAGCATGGTCTCCGGGCTACTCCGTGCTTGTTGCTGCTACAATAAATAGCACATAAAATGCAAAAAGGGAAGCCACAAGAAGCGCCAGAAACGAATGTCACATCCGACAATGTAGCCCAGAACTCCACTCCACAAAAAGAAATAACCGAGAGATGGAAGTAAAGTGCAACCGAAAATGCCAGAAAAATTTGCAAATGACATTTGCTTGCCGGTTGTCAGCAGAATTTTATCATAACCAGAGGGATCCCAAAACACGAAGAGTGGGATGAAGAGGAGCATGGGAATTATGTAGAGCCAAAGTCAAGACCCAAGTAAGTCCTCGACTTAAGCACGCCCCGTGGCTGTGAATGGGGCTTCAGTCAGCCCGCCGCCACTGACGAATGTCACGTTTATGCGCCTCGCTTTTTTCTGGCATTATGTGATGAACAAGTTGGCGCATAAATATATGAATTCCTAATGAGCCCAGTGTCCCCGTGAGCCCGCAGGTAGAGCCCTGAGTACCTGGGACACTGGACAACTTTTCGTTTGAGTAAAAAGTTTTTGCTTTCGCTTGCAAATTATTAGTTGGACATTTGACGCCACTTGGGCGCTGCCTATTTAAATGCTTCTGCTGTTTCTGCTGGCAGAAATTGAAAAACTTTACATTTTATTCGCTGAGGCAGCAACAGTTACAAGGCAGGCGCCGGCTGTCACATTATAGTTGGCCTCCAAAAAAGTTGCACTTGCTTTTGTTGGTCCCCTTACCGAGAGTTGAGATCACTTATTCCGATGTCCTGACTTCTGTCATCCAAATGAGACAAAGTTGCCCCATGAAAGTAAAAATTACAAATTCATCATTGGGGATGTTCGAAGGAATGGGCTGAGAGCTGAGGGCTAAGTTTTCTGGCAAACGTTTTTAGATGCATTCTGCGCTGTCTCTTGCAGTAAGTTTAGTTGTAAAGAGGAACACGAAGAACAAAGAAAGTTTTACATTTCATTAAGTTATGTTGTTCATTCTCGGTTGCATAAATATTTATAGTTTCCAGTTTCGTTCTACCACTCTTTGGAGAAGGGAATGCTCGTTAGTTGGTCTATCAATAGCATTTCCATTACAATTTCTGTTGTATTTGGATTTTCTTTTCATTCACTTAAATCCTCTTTTAAAACTCTCTATTCCTCTCATTCGTTTAATTTTCTGTTTGTGCCACAAACATAAATTCACTTCAACACATCACTCCGCTGTGCAGTTTTCCGAAAACCCATTTCTATTCGCCCATCTGCTGAAAAACGAAGCATTAAGCTAAAGTGCCAGATCCTAAGCTCCGGCAGAGGATATACATGGAGAGGAGATCCATGCTGGCGGTTCGGGGTCGGTTCAGGTGCTTCTACAACAGCCCGAGAGTAAAGTGAAAGTCATTACATTTGGCTCCTAAGGCTACGAACTCCTGTGCTCTGCTCCTGCTGCTTCATTACATTAAAAGTCAATTTTATCAACTGTTGAGCTCGGTGTCGGAACGGGTGGCTCCCCAGCAATCAAAAGACTCAAATCTAATATCAAACACTCGCTAAAAGAAACAAAAAATACAATCTAAATATGCGACTTTGCCTGCCCCCAAATGTTATGCTCCGAAAACCTTCTCATCTCTCACTTCTCCTCTTTCTCGTAGCCATCCGAATCGTCGAGCCTCTGTGCGAGTGAGCATCTCCCAGCCACAATTGGGTTACCCAACAAATGGCAATGGAGCTGGAGGCGGAGGCGGAGGTAATGGCACAGCAGCTGCGACAACGAGCTGCACAACTCCAGGAGGAGGTGGAAATGGCTCCAGCATAGTGAGCATATCCACCATACAGGGACATGGACAGGACCACAACCAGAGCGGTGGCGGAGGCGGATGCGGAGAAAGCAATCACCAGCTGGAGCAGGTGAGGGGCATGCCCACAGCAATGCCTGCTGACGAACGACAGCAGCGACACAAATTGCGTCCCTTTAAGTTTGCTTTAAATCGTGTCGCCACGCCCACACTCAATTTGCGGTGAGTGAATCAATAATTACATTCTCCGGAAACAAAGAAAATCCCGACGACAATGACGGTATCTGTCTCTCCATCTCTTAGATTCCTCAACAATCGCAGCAAACGAAACAGTTTGTCTGCCAACGCAGTGGCCACCGAACAGAAGGCCACCAAGGTCCTGGGCCTGGTGTTCTTTACCTTTGTGCTGTGCTGGTCCCCGTTCTTCATATTGAACATAATCTTTGCCGCCTGCCCGGAGTGCCAGGTGCCCGAGCATGTGGTCAACACCTGCCTCTGGCTGGGCTATGTCTCCTCCACGATCAACCCCATCATCTATACCATCTTCAATAGGACCTTTCGGGCTGCCTTCATACGTCTGCTCAAATGCAATTGCGAGCGGTAAGTTTGATTTTGGCATTGTGGCATAATTTATTGCTGTGCAGAGTGCATTGTGCTGGGAATTGATGTGCAACGTGACGTATGATTGATTTTCGGGTATTTGTATTCTCTTGATTGGATGCAAGATGAATGAACAGCCATTAGGAAGAAGGATTATTGAGCATATTGCAGCAGGATTGCGGGGTGCACATGCCTTGAAAATAAAGGAGAGCGAACAGGAGTGATTTAATATGGAATATTTTTATTCAAATATTTGAGAATGGATACCCTTTCAGAGGTTAAGAATAATGGGAGTTTGCACAACTTTAATACACTCTAAGGGTCGATAGAATGCTTCTAATATATGTCTTCATATCCACAAATACCCTGTATAACAAAAAACTTTTTAAAACCGAAAAAAAACTCATCCTATTTTTATTGCAATCCCTTACAGTTCCGGTCGACCGTTGCGCTATCGCTCAGTGACCGAAGGACGCGGCGCCCTAAGCCTGTGCGCCCCATCCGCTCTGCCGCTGGCCATCTCCTTTCAGGGTGGACCACTCATGACGCCATCCACCGCGAATGCGACGCCGCTGAGTGACTTTCAGGGCGGCTATACAATCGACGATGACGAATGCTAAGGAGGACGAGGACCCCACCAGCATTCTCTCACCATAAAAAATATTACGAATTTATAATGATGCAAAGAAGCTGCAACACAAAATCTTAGCTCGTACTTGAGGCAACTGTACTTACTAGCTGCTAATTAAACAAAGAACTACAGGGTGATGCATGCAAAACTAAACAAAACTCCAAACACAATCAATGCGACAACAATTGATGGCTTTTGTACCTACAGCATGAGCAAACCAAAACTTAAACTTAAACGTAAACTCATCATATCATTGTATGACAGAGGGAAACATATATATAGATAGAGGAAAGACCAACAGGAATAGAGAGTGAGAGAGCGTGAGAGAAAGATAGTGTGATGATGTGTGTGTAATGATCAAGTGACTGTACCTGTGTTTTCATTTCCATGCCAAACATTTTCTAGCTTTAAACAACAACAACACACTGTATTTGTAAAGTTAAGCCTAAGCTAAACTACATTTAAATATAAATCATTAAAGGAAAAGAATACTAAAATTAATGTATACCTTAAGTGAGTTGAAAAAGCATTGAGAAACCTATTGAAATTACCTGTGTAGCAGCTGTGTTTATTAGTCATTAGCATGCTAAGCCTCTAAATAGTTGAATTAGTTGATAGTTCGATTAGTACGGAATTTAATTTCATGACCCCACCCCACCCACTCAATCGATGCCTATTCCAATGTCCAGACAGCCTTGCTGTTCTCCCCTTAGTTCCCTCTTCCTGTGTACGAGTATGTCTCTGTATGTCTATTTAGTGCATAAGTTTAATGTTAAATGCAATACTTGATATACATTATATACTAAATGGAAATATACTATTTCTCTGTAAGCTGTGCCTCTCTTTTTCTCTCATATAACTCAAATTGTTGCCAGTGCTGAAATGGTAATGATGTTGTGGAGTGGAAATACTTGTTCCATGACGCATTTTTGGGGTGTTAAATAAGAAGCTTATTTTGGTAGTGTTTGATGTAGAGCTTCTTGGAAAGCATGTCCTGAAATTATAAGTTTTCTTTTGTGTTTCCTCAAAATATTATTCTAATGGGTTTGTTTTCTAGGGTGAGCAGCTTAAGATGGAGCAAGCTTAATCTATAAATTGTTCCTCCCAGATGAATTCCTGCACATTTCATAGTCAAAAGTTTAGCCCGATCATCCGATAAACTTGCTGCAGGATATCGAAACAAAGGCTTTGGCCTTTTCGAAGTTTCGCACCAGCAAAACATCACACGAAATGACAAACAAATATGCACTTAATATTTTACTACAGGATGCGTTTACTTTCAGCAACAATTCCGGCATACAATTCCCTTGGCTCCGTTGACAGAGGGCAGAGCTTAGAGTTCCGGAATGACAATGCCGTCGGTTGCATTTGCAGAGCCGCAAACCAAGAGACAGAGCCAAAACATACATAGAGAGAGAGAGTGAGCGAACGACAATGTGGCACAGCAGCAGCACAGGCCTGCCTGGGGCGTATCTAATCAAGATATGTGAGTGTTATGCGGACTTAAGTGCTTTGCGTCACAAGAGTACTAACTCCCACCATCTTCTGTCACTCTCTCTCTCTATCCATCTCTCTTCCGCCTTTGCTCTTTACACCCACACGCTCTTGTACAGCAGCTCGAGATAAAACCCATACATGGAACATCGGTAAGCTTGACAGCTCTGCCAAAACTTTGGATATAACTGCAATAATCGCATGCGGGGTACATGGGAGATGGGGTTGGGTGCTCTGTCTTCTGTCATAAATGCCATACAAATTGCATTATTGCCATGAATTTAATACAATTCCAATGCTTTCCGAGGGTGAAAGTTTGGCACACCCCAAAAATAATTTTCTTTTGATTTTCCTTACCCCATTTTATGGTGTCTTTTTTTTTCGTTGCTGCTGCTGCTGTTGGTTTTTCAAGTGAACTGAAGCGGAAATCGGAGATGGAGAAAACACTGGAACTGAAACTGAGTGCCAAAGACTGCTTTAAGTTGCAGTTGCCAGTGCCCTGACAAATTCCCTCTGTTGCATATCTCGTACTGGAAACCAGCACGAGCAGACGGCAGCTAAGACCGCTAAGGCGATACGCTAAAGCCAGTCGCCAAGGCCAGCAGCGAGTGGCAGAGCAGAGCAGAGCATGACAACAACAAAGTTGTGTTTTTACAATTAAGTTGCCACTGACTGACGGTTGTTTATGGCTTAGAGCAGATATAGCCACAAGAGTTGAGAGTTAAAAGATAGAGGCAGAGGTCTGTGGTTCACCGTGAAATTGATTGCACCGCCGGCATTTTACCTCCTTAGAGAAAAGAGAGCTCCTGACTCGTGGCTCCTGGCTCGTGGCCGCATGCACTTGGCTTTCCTTTTCTTCGCTTTAAGTGCGTTGATTAACATCTTAAGGCTGGCAATTCGTTGCTGCTCGGTTTACACACAATTTATTTACATTTCTGCCTGTTTTATTGTCTGCTTTTCAACACAAATCACACGCAAAAAATGCTGAAATCGCTCAATTGTTCGCCCATATGAGCACATTTTCATAAGAAAGACATTCTGCTTATTTATTATGCCACACAACACACACACTCAGTCAGGCATACTCGTAATATGGTGTGTGCCACAGACAGACTGCCGTTCAACACTTTGCCGCTTCATTAGCCGTAACCAAGCGTGGCAGAGGCTGAGTGAAGGCTGATTACAATACAAATGTCATTTGGGGTAAATGTTGTTTTGTGTTCCAGGCAGAAACTCCAGCTTGAAAAAGCACAAATTGCAGCAGAGCTATTTGGTTTATTTTCTCGGGGAAAAGCAAAGAAATATTAAAGTACTTATACTTGGAATCCCTGACTAATGCTTTACTTCCATGGCTTTCAAAATCTTTGTGTTTATACAAACCATTAAAAACGTATACCCATCTATCCATACAGTTACCCTATGTTCAAACATAAACTTCAAAGGGAAGGCTGATTTTGGGCGTGTGTGCCTCTAAGTAGTACAAACAAAAGTGGCAGAAGGAAACAGCCAAACATCAACACAACATCGGCAACAGGGCGTATGCGTGATGGACAGCGGGTTGACTTGGCTTCTTTTTTGTTTGTTTTGTTTATTTTGGCACGATTCTTGTGTTTTTCTTGCACTCATTGCTTGTTGTTTGCTGCCAGTGCTGCACGTGTGGCCCAAACCCATGACTCTTACCCATGGTACTCCCAGTCATGTATATAATTGTAAGCCCCCGTTCGAGGAGCTGTACGTACACCTTCTCTTCTCGCAATCATTAGTAAGGCAAATGCAAATATATATCAAATCTGTTTGGAATTTATGTATAAATCGGTAGAGCAAAGGTTATGGGACTACTCAACTGTGTAGTTTTAACTCGGGCATTCAGTAAACGAATTAACTACCGCAAAATGGGTTTCTGCGCTCCCCCGGCCGTCCCATCTTGTAATCCGAAAAAGGACAAGGATGGAAGGACTCGAAGACCTTCCATGGCTTTGCCACCTTTTTCGTGTGCTCTGCGCGGATTAGTCAAATTGGTTTTTGCCTGGGGAGACGTTGCTAAGAAGAGCCCCGGCACCACCCACAAGTTCAAGTCCGCGACAGCCTCAACTTGGGGCCCCCGCTGATGGCCAGGTTATTTACTTACTTAGCCAGCCAGGAGCGCCCGAGAGCCATTCACAGCTGCCAACGCTGACAAATTGAGGGCTTCACTTTGATGGCAACAAAGGTGACCAGGATTGCATGGTATGGGGGGATTGGAGTATCCTGGGGAGTCGAAGCTGGCAACATGAGGCACTGAAAAAGAATACAATACCTTTTTGCAACATGTTGCCGAAGGGAAGTGGGTGGGGTGGGACGTTGAACCCTGATTAACCCTAAGGGAAGAACAAAAAGAAGATTCCTAAAATAAATAAAATAGGAGAAAAACTGTTGGTGGGTGGCATGCTCCCTCATAAATTCTACGAAAGTGGAAATTGAATTGTCTAATTAGGCGCTGCTAAAGCAACATTTGCTAATTGCTTATAAATTGTTAAATGCTGGCCAAAACAGCTGACAGGCGACAAAGGGTTAATGACGGAGAGGCTACCAGCATCCAGAATCCCGGGAGGTGTAATATGCCCATCCTGGACAGAGCAGAGCAGGGCAGGGCAATTAGCAGGCGAAACAAATGAACATTTTGTGTTAATTAGCGGATTGCCTTCCATTTTCGGATGGTTGGGTTCCATTTTGGGTATGGTTCGGGTTAGGGTTTGGGCTTAATTTTGGATGGACGTGTGGAGTAATGGCCATTTTTGGAGGGTGTTGCGGTTGATTAGCATTGACAACTAATCGGATTGTCAACTTGTTGAAGCATGTTTCGCCACTTAATCGCTTGCTTAATCGCTTGCTCTGCCTACGATTTAGTTAGTGGTTTGCAAAAGGGAATGCTTAAGATTTTCTTCGTGTCTGATTAAGATTGAGTTTGTGGCTTGAGACTCTGATTAAGATTGAGCAGGGTGGCTTGGAAAGCTGATTGAGATTCAATTAATGGCTTGAGCAAACCAACTAAATGCATTTTCACCAACAAAGTTGTGCACTTCTGCACCCAACGAAAAGATCTGCAGACAGAGACACCGAGTGAGAGACTGCCACTGGGGAAAGCTGGGAAAATTTAATTAAAATGCCAAATCCAATCCACTGATACCTCCGACTACCTGCAAACCCACCCGGCCACAAACAGCAATCAATCACAGAAATTAAAAATATTCACTCAAGTTCTAGGAAAATCGAGAAGGGACGTGTGAGACGCTTCTTACGCGTCGCAACTTTTATACCCGGCATTCAGTACTACATCTGTACTCAATCGGTTATTTGTCAAATTTTAAATTTTTTCTTCATCTGTCATCTACATCTACAACACTTCTCACGCCAACACGCTCCTTTAGCTCGCCCCCTTCCCTAGAGCCAAACACTGCAGAGTCATGGCAGAGGCAGAGACGAGGCAGAGGCAGAGGCAGCTGCCGCACACTGCAGGAAGCAGAGTGTAAATGAAAGAATGTGAAAAAATAACAACAAAAGCTGCGGGACAGGGTGTGTTTAGCCACTGAAAATTTATTTCTTTATTGTGGCTATACTAATGGTCCAATCAGATCCCAATTTGGTGATCTGATAGATATGGTCATTCCCTACGGAATTTTTAGTTTTCTTTTATCTTCAAAATTGTAGGTTTGGGAGGTTTTCGCTCTTTTGCGGGGGCGAAAGGGGGCGTGCTCATTTTTTAAATACACTTGTAACAGTGTGAGCATACAGAAGTCTGGATGCAAAATTTGGTGGCTCTAGCTTTTATAGACTCTAAAATCCAGGCGCTCATAAGGACGGACGGACGGACAGAGAGACATGGCTCAATCGACTCGGTTATTGATGCTGATCAAGAATATATATACCTTATGGGTTCGGAAACGTTTCCTTCTGTACGTACAACCGTTATTCCCCACAAATACAATATACCCTATTTACTCTTCGAGTACCGGGTATAAAAACGAGGGGGCTAAGAGAAGACAAAAGAAAAATCCCTGAGTTAAGAAGAAGGACAAAAAAGTGACTTTAAAATAAATAGATTTATCTTCGAGTTGCACAAGAAGGGAATTGATTGGAATGTGTTAAGTGGTTGGGGTCGTCGATGGGGGCGTGCACACATGCGATTCTTTTTTCCAGGAACCATAAAAAAAGGAAAACCCTAAAAATCTTCGTTGTTTCTAGTTGAGCAATGAATTAGTTTGTATTTCGGGAAAATGCGTTTAACATTAACATCGAACAAGCTTTGAATAGTTCAATAGTTTGATTAACTTACAGTGTTATGTCATAGTATATTTACACGAAAAACTTACAAACTTAGCTTTCCTTTAGAGAACATAAATGTCTGCGTGCATCTGGCAGCGCTTCTTTTTTAGTATATCCGATTAGAGATAATTATAAACTAGTTGGTAACTTATTAAACTAAGAGAAACAAACTATTTAAGCCGGTGGTTGCTGCTTTCATTCTGTCATTGAATCCTTTGATCCTGCCTCCCTACTTCTTTGGTAGAACGACGAGTCGAGTTTACTTTAGCAAATAATCCATTTCGGATTTGGTGGTTGACATGTACTGATCCAGCTCTTTGTCCAGATCCTCGCGTTTAACCTCTTCACGTGGGACTCCCTTGCCTTTACCTAGGGGTACAAGAAAATACATGAGATTAGAATGGGATTCAAGAGGATTGGGAATAAAAAGTGTAGAGAGAAATTCCAAGTTCAGCTGCAGCAGAGCCTCCGGTTCCAGTTCGGTGTCCATTTAGCTGTGCGCCTCATGACTTGTAACGCTTTTACCTGGAGCCTGACGACCAGCACGAGTACGACTGCGTCCCCGACGAGCCTGTTGCTGCTGTGGCCCTGGCTTTCCACCACCTCCTGGGCGGCCCTTGTTGGTCTTGCCCTTGCTGGCATTGCTTTTGTTACCATTTTTGTTGGCGGCGGCCCCCTTGGCACCCGAACCCTTGACAGCGCCAGCGCTGCGGCCTCGTCGGTTGCGTGTGTTATTGGCCCTTCCCGGGGTAGCGGCGGCGGCAGCGACAGCAGCGGCAGCAGGGCGATTGCGTGAGCGCGAGCGACGTGTGGAGGCTCCATTGGAGCCCGAAGCAGCACCTCCCCCAGCAGCAGCAGCGGCCCTAGCAACAGATCTATAAAGGTAAGGATTGCATTGTATCGGTTTGATTTCTCATGATTTTGCTGCAAGTTAACTTACCTTCCACGTGGACGTCCTCGTCGTCCGGCGAGGGAAGCTGAAACTCCCTTCTGCGTTGGATTGGCATTGCGACGCTTCTCCACCCGCCCGCCGGCTACGCCACGAAGTTTGCTCGGTGCACGGCGTTGATTCTTGGCCTGGTTAGCTCCCGCTCTGGTTCTAGCTCCAGCACCGCCCCTGCCCTGGCCTGGGCGCACGCCCAGACGCTGCTTGACCGAGACGCGGGGTGTTTGTTGTCCAGCCCTAGTACCCGACTGCGGGCGACGATCGCGTCCTCCACGAGTACGACTCTGCGAGCGTGTGCGATTAAACTGAGGGGCGGCGCTGCGTCCGCGACTCTGCGACCGAGAGCGGTCAATGCGAGCGTTCACTTGGGGAAGGCGAGAACGGGAACGGCTGCGTGAGCGTCCACGGGTCTGCTGAAGATGATACTGCTGCTGCTGTTGTTTAATCAGCTGTCGCTGATGTCGCTCCACACGCTCGGAGGCGCCACCCACAGAGGGCCGACGGTTGCCCAGTCGCTGGCGAAGGCCGCCCACTGCCGAGGAGGAGCGACGGGTGCTGCTGCCGCTGCGACGACGTGTCAGATTGCTGTTGGCTATGAGATCGGCACGCATCCTGCACAGTTAGCGGATATGTAGAAGCAGAAGATGTACAGAGATGTTTCATTGCAGTGGGAGTCTGCCCATTGGTTAGAGTCGAGGATTCTTACGTTGCAACCCGGGTCACATTGTTCGACCGCATGGGCTTTCCATTGGGGGCCAGGCGCACCGATTTGATGCCGCCCACGCGTGATCCGCGTACGCCGCCGCCAGTGTTCCGTAAGCTTCTCTGTAAGGATGCATAAGGTTTGTGGATGGATTTTTTGTTTGATTACAATCGGAGTTGAGGAGCGCGCAGCATCTGTGTTTTTTTTTTGGGAGTTCTACAGCGAGCGTGTTCGAGTTCAAGTTTGAGTTTGAAAGTCTCTCTAGAGAGTCTAGTTTTGGGAGTTTGCGTTGGTGTTGGCTGGACCACAGGAGGGACTAACCGACAGAGACACATCGCACACACACACAGGACACTCAAAACCCGTGTCGACTGTGTGGCCTGGAACAACGCAGAAGGCGTTCCGCTCCTATTTGTCTATGATTGCCGTCCATTGTCCGACTCTCCTTCTGCTGGCCAAGTCAGTTATTTATCAAGCTGATGCTGCTGCTGCTGCTCCTACTGCGAATGCTGCCTCATGGAGTACAGTCCCAGAGTTATATGATATCTTGTGGATCTGATCTGTCATGGCTTGTCTGTTTGTATTTTGATTTTGGGGAAACGTACGCGCTTCAGTTTGAGGGCCGTCTGCACGGTGTGCTTCCGCTTGAACTCCTGCAGCAGACGGGAATTGGCCGCCGATACGACTGGAATGGCCGCATTGCTGTCAACAATCCTGCGGCTGCGGCTCTGAGAGCGACTCCGACGTCCACGTGCATTAACTGCCTGCTGCTCCAGCTTCTGTCTGGATTGCATCTGGGTGAAGCGTTCGTTTAACGATATTCCGGTCTGAACCATTTTCAGTTTGTTCTTTGTAGTATTTTGTGTTTATTTAATATATCTGCAACTTTGTTGGTTTGGTTTGATGATTTTTTTTTATTTATCGATCACTTATTTCCGTTTACAGTTAGACTGTGTGCGTTGAGGTTGAAACTTGGTTTGCAACTGAAATTAAATAACGAATACAAATCTATTTTATACTATGACAGGTAGAAAACTATGTAAAAGGCAAAGGATACGATTACAGGTAGACAAATTGCAAAAGGCAGCTGACGGCCATAAGCACTAAGCTACGCGAGCGAGCAGTCTCTCAATCCGCCAATAAATCTGCAGCTGGTCACGAATTTTCAAATTGCAGCCGTGCATTGGGTTATTTAGACAGGACAGTGTGCACTCGATTTTTTAGGGTGCGCAATCGAAATTGTATTATCAGGCTTTAGAGGTTTGCGTTTTATGAGACTCCACTGTATTCTATTTATAGTTTCCACAACTACACAAACACACATTCGTGGGAGGCTGATTCATTCCATTAAATGGGGTCACGCCTTTTCTTATGCACATATACATTCAGACTAGTTCAATTCCATTTTTACTTACATTTGCGACTCCGTTTAGCGTTTTCAGATCCGTGCTGAAGCGTTAAATGGCAATGTCCCACGCTGATGCGTGAATATTACCAACACAGGCGCAAATAATCCACGATAGTCTCAATTTACACGCACTTTTTCCAGACAGAAATGTAGTCGGTTTCGGTTTGATTACTTTTCCAAGTAACTATTTGTTTGTAGAATGTTGCTCGTACAGTTGTATGAATGCGATAAGATATGTTTATTCTGTTGAAATCTGAGTTTTCTTGACGCTTTGTTTGAAAATTTTAACAAAATCAACGCTAGTGTACAGACAACCAGTGTGACCAGTCTGACCCTCAGAAATATATCGACGTATACCAAAAACACCGAATATGTGCCCACCTTGGGTAAACCGCGGAAATGTATCTTGTATATCTTATCCTTGTTATTTTATTATGTTTATTTATGTTTATTATAAGTAAACATCACTAAAATTATGAACATTTCCTTCCCTGCTTATACTAAATAGTAAGGAGCAAACTAAATTTGAATACATCTTATCGCTTAATTAATGCACGCATAATAATATGCATAATAATATAATGGATTATATATATACTAATTATAAATTGAAACAAGGAAGTGGAGTCCTTGGAGTCTGAAAACAGGGCTTTTGTCGGTACCCCATTCAGGGTGACCATTATATATTATATTATATAGTTTTCGGAATATCGTAATATTTTTGAGGGGCATGCAAGATATTTGATTGAAAAATTCTGCGGGCACACTGACTCCAATCCAAATGAACTCTTACGGTTTGTAGACAGAAATTAAAAAATTAAATTAAATTGCTTTACCACAAGAAATCACCAACACAAAAGGAGCGACAGCCATACCACCAGTGCCCCGTAGACGAGTTGATATTTTTGAGTGCCGCCCCTGTGTTCGGTTTGCTTTTGTTTCACAATTTGTGTTTCTCCTTTGTATGCCCACCTCCTCTGTCATCATACATTTTTTTGTGTCTTATATTTCGTGTGTTATTGTTTATTGTACATTTTCGTTTCAATTTCGATGAAGCACATAAACATACAGCCACATCCACATAGTAGCACACAGAAACAGTACCAAACTGAGACTGAAACAGAATAAACGCAAAAACACCGACAACGAGACGACCACGACCCTTTCCACAATCAAAATGGCCAAAATGTACGGAAAGGGTAAGAGTAAGTACACGCCAAGAGAACACCACATTAATTCTAACATAAATATACCCAACTAAATGTTAACTAACATCTACTGACACGCTTGTCGATTCGAATCCGCAGGCATGCTCTCTCTCTCTAAAGTAAACTATTTGAAAGCACAACCATTCCTATGTCCTGTCTAATGGCTCCGATTCTTTTCTCCACAGCGGCCATAGAGTCCGAAGAGCAGCAGAAACGACGATGGCAAATAGAACTCGAGTTTGTGCAGTGCCTCTCCAATCCAAATTATCTCAACTGTAAGTCAAGCTGAGAGCTGAGAGGATAATCCTTCCATTTCTATATGTTTTTCGCTTTCTAGTCCTGGCCCAACGTGGCTACTTCAAGGACCAATCGTTCATCAACTATCTAAAGTACTTGCAGTACTGGAAGGAGCCGGACTATGCCAAATACCTCATGTACCCGATGTGTCTGTACTTCCTGGACCTCCTGCAGTACGAACACTTTCGCCGCGAGATTGTCAACTCGCAGTGCTGCAAGTTCATCGATGAGCAGGCCATACTGCAGTGGCAGCACTACACCAGGAAGCGTATCAAGCTCATGGAGAGTGCCACGGCAGTGCAACAGCAGCAACAACAGCAGCAGCAGCAACAACTACAACAAAGCAATGGTGGCGATGCCGCCACAGCTGGCGAGGCGGCAGCCACGGGCGGTATGATGGCCACAGCGAATGGCAATGGCACGGCATCCGCCGCAGAGGCCCAGCCTTCGGGAGCCTCCGTGCAGCGAGGGGGAGCGGAGCCTGGCCAGCCACAGGCAGTGATTCCACAACAGCAACAGCAACAAATCAATGGCTTGGCCACAGCGCCTAACATCAAATTAGATTTAAACTAACGATGGCAATTGAAAGTTAACAAAATAAATTAGTTCTAAGTCGTCTAAGAGTCGTTTCTTAGCCTTCCTCGTCTGTCCTCCGTCTAGTCGTCTCCTTTTGTTGGTACTGCAAAGAATCGCCTTAGTAATTCCCATTTTAAACTGCATTCACAGCCACACACGCATGATGCCGCATGATGAGGATGAAGCCATCGCCCACAAGGGACACTTTTATGGCGTCTACTTGCTGTGCAGCCAGAGCCTCGACTCGCGCTATCGTGGCAAGTGCTATGTGGGCTTCACCGTAAACCCCAAGCGACGGATCAGGCAGCATAATCGCGGCTGCGATTTCGGTGGTGCCAAGAAGACCAGCAAGAAGGGGCCCTGGCAGATGGTCATGATTGTCCATGGCTTCCCCAACAACATTGTGGCCCTGCAGTTCGAGTGGGCGTGGCAGCAGCCCACGCTGTCCACACGCCTGAAGCTCTTCCCCGACCTGAAGCGCAAGAAGCCCAAGGAGACGCACTTCGACTACAACTTTAGGATCCTCAATCGCATGCTGGGCGTGGGACCGTGGCATCGTCTGGCACTCACCATCCGCTGGCTGGAAGCGGACTATGAGCGTGCGTTTGAGCTCCCTATTCCCTGTCACATGGAGATTGTCAGCGGAAAGGTGTCCATCACCGCCTCGCAGCGTAAACTGGAAAAGGCATCCGCCGCCCCGCCTGTGGCATGGGCTCCCGAGTGTCACCTATGCATGCAACGCATCGATCAGCCCGAACGTTCCCGCTTGGGCTGCACCAATCCCACTTGCCGCCTGACCTGCCACATGCTGTGCCTCGCCAGCTATCTGCTGGGCGATGAGCCCGGCCAGTACATTCCCATTACCGGCGATTGTCCGCTGTGCGAGACCCGCCTCAGTTGGTCCGCTCTGCTGCAGCGGCAACATCTCCTGCTGGGCGTACCCGAGGAATTGCAGGACAACAAAGAGGAGGATCTGAGCGAAGATGGGCCCGATGTGGACAGCGATGTGGAAGTCCAAGAATTTAGTGATTAATGTGTTAAATTTTTAAATTAACAAAGCCGCAGTTAGAATTTGATAGTCGTTTTTCGATACTATCGTTACAGAGTTGCGACAAAAAAGGGCTAAATTTTAATATTTATTGTTTTTAGGGAACTGCGCCTACTTGGGTGGCAGCCTATTCCACCAGCGAAAGTTTTGGCAAACAGCCACTGAATATATCCACCAATTGCGCATTTACAGTCTCAAATGTTTTGGCAATTATTTGTCCGTCTGCGACAGTGGTGTGCTCAGCGGTACGCAATTTCTCCAGATGAATGGTTAGGGCCTGGAGCAGTACATCCTGTTGGGTGTGCAGCTCAAACATTTGCTTCCTGACCACACGGATGTGTTGAATTTGCTGATGAATCAACAGCGACATGGTGGCAATGGTCGACATGTCATCGAAGTGCATGGAATCATCCGTTTTCTTGGCGGACCATTCTTTAACATCGAGAGTGACGGCAGTAAGCTTCTCGGCCAGAGCTAGCTTCTCGTTCTCCTCCACACGTGGCTTGACAGCCTTGGCTTCCACAACGTCAGCTGCTGTTGCCTGAGCGGCCTCTGCCTCGGCAGCTTTTCCTTCAACGGTGTCCTTGGCCACCGACTAAAAAACCAACACAATAATTACATTATTTTAAATATAAACCACAGCGTTACCTTCTTCTGCCTTTGCATTGATTTCGATTTCTTTTTATTATTTTTCGCCATTTTTCTGTCGACAAACAAAAGTTACTGACTCGAAACTCAAAATTGAAATAGTTCGAATTCTGATTAATGTAAATAAGGAAACCTTTCTGTAAATCTAAGTAGTTTTAGAAACTGTTTTGTACATTTGTAATGTCTAGTTTTAACCTTTGGATTACTTGTTAGTGCGGCGACGCTGGGTCGCGTCCCAGAATATCTTCTGCTCTTCTCTGATGTTCAATTCACGCTGGTCTAATGGGGACACGCGCGAATGAGTGATTTGATTCTCTTCGTTGGCAGTGTTGGGGTCCATAAAATTGGGACGCAGTCTTATTATCTGATCCAGCACATCGCTCATCATCAAGGAGTTCGGTCGATCGTCGGCGGCAGTGAAGAGGCCATATTCCACGGCATTGGCCAGGCGATGGGCCAGCAATGGCGTGTAGGGACCACGCAAGTGTGGCTGACCATTTTCCAGCTCTCTGGGTGCTCTTGGTAATAGTGAATCCATCTCGTGGGGTAGCTCCGTTGTGTTTTCCTGCATCCGCCTATGCACATTATGCTCATTATGTTGCCAGATCGCAAACACTTGCATTAACCAGGATCGAGGTACAATGTGGCCCGAGGGAGACAAGGTGGCAAAGTCTCTGCCATCGGCAGCCTCCGCCTCAGTCTCCGCCGCAGCCTCAGCCGCAGCCTCAGCAGCGAGTCGATATTCACAACGCGGGCAAAGATCTGTGCTTCCATGACTTTCATTAGGGCTGCCAGGACTTGGAGTGCTATGCCTCTCTATGGGTACTTCACATACGCGACAAGGTTCAGGTTGACTGGAAACCGGCAAGCTATCATAGATCCGCCAAGGTACACCTGGTGATGGCTCTGATTGAGGCAAAACGGGTCCAGAAACCGAAATGGATAACGGCCCAGATGCCGGATACCCTCCACGAGCATTGGACACATTGTCTCCATAATGATTTGCTGTTGGATATGCAGCGGTGTTTGGATGCAGGACAGCTGGGTGGCGCTCTCCGTTGCAACTTGCAATCGGATAGGTGAGTCGAAACCATGAAGACATCATTCCGTGGAAGGGATTTAACATCGTATTTGCGCCACTTCCTCCGACAGGGTTATAGGTAGCTCCGGCGGATGGATAGCTGGCTGCTGATAAATATTGTGGAAGCGGCGCCCTGGACCTCAACTGATCCAATGGATCGCTGGGTTGCGGTCTGCTCGGCACATTCAGATATCCTGCTCGTCGCATTCTGTCCCAGAGTACAAACCCTGGATCGGTGAGTTCATTCTCGCCAGGGGTATTTGGATAACAATTTCGAACTGCATTTTCCATCAAAACATTCCCCTCCTCACCCAAGAGGCCCCTGTTGTAATACCAATCAGCAAATGAGGTGTAAAATGTTGGATAATGTCTCTGAATCACACATCTCGGCGAGTCCATGCCGGCCAGTGGCTGTTGGGATGCGAACATGTTCACTCTGAAGCTGAACGAATAGGGGTTGAGTCGCTGCCCGTCAATATAGTGCCGTGGAAGTTCCTAAAAGACACATTAACATTCACAATTCACATTTAGACGAGAAAGTCTTAGCAGCCACTAATACTTACAGCGATTTCCTCCTCTTCTTCTTTATAATGGTCCTCCTCTTCTTCCTCATTTTCGCCATCGTCATTCTCATCGTCTCCTTGCTCGTCGGTTTCGTCGTTATTCTCGTAGCCATCTTCTTCATTCGTAGCTTCATCGTGCTCTTCTTCGTCTCGCTCGTCTCCGCCTTCATCAATCTCTTCATCGTCCTCGTTTACCTCTTGATCACGGAGTATTGCAACCTGTTCAATGGAATTGTCTTTATCACCTGAAAGTCGCCGCAAGTTTTCAGCCAAATCTGCTGCTGGTAGCGAAGGTCTGCTGCTGGTAGCGACATTCTTAATCTCCGGCTCCTTGCCGAAGCGGTTGTATTCCACAATTTCATTTTCAATATTCATCTTGTTTATTGCACCAATTAGGGGAATACGCACAGACTCAAAATATTTCGTATTGACGACAACCACAAATTCAAAGAATACAACAAAAATTAAAACCCAAGCTCGGCCGCGCCGGCTCACACGAACAAAATATCAAACTGACGATGGGCGCCTTCCGATACATACGACGTTACAAATACCAATCATTGCGAAGCAGGGATGGGCGTTTTTTTAATAGAAATATCGATATTTTACAAATTAAATGGTATGTTTCGGTGGGTTTCATACGGTATATTTAATCTAAACCGAGGTCACACTGACTTGTTTTTTTTTCTGAAAAATATCAATACAAATTTAATTCTAGTAACAAAGCCTGCTGCTTTCCACATAAATACCATGCCGGTGAGTACGTTGACCTGTCACAAGTCTTCCCTGATTCAGGATTTGTGTGTTTTGCGTCGATACTCTCAGTGGCCGCCCCCCTGCACAGCAAAAATGTTATTTACATACATTTAATGATTTCATTTGCTTGTTAGGCCTACCACTCCCAGATCAAGGAGTTCCCCACGCAGGTGGGAAACATGGCCATCCTGCCGCTGCGTACCCAGGTGCGCGGACCAGCGCCCAGTGCCAATGTGGACAACGACATCATTGATGAGTCACTTTACTTTTTCAAAGCCAATGTATTCTTTCGCACATACGAAATCAAAGTACAAACAATAGCGCCATAGATATCTACATCCATATGACTTTAATTTCCATCAATTGCAGTCGGAGGTGGACCGAGTTCTCATCTATGTGACGCTGTTCATCACCGAATGCCTGAAGCGGCTCAATCGATGCACCAACAAGGGCCAGGGACAGCAGGAGATGTATAGCCTGGCCATTTCCAAGTTCGACATACCCGGCGACGCTGGCTTCCCGCTGAACGCGGTCTATGCCAAGCCTCAAACGGCACAGGACTCTGACCTAATGCGTCAGTATCTGCTGCAGCTGCGCCACGAGACCGGCAATCGTGTGGTGGAGAAGGTCTTTAACACGGAGGATGGCAAGCCCAACAAGTGGTGGACGAGCTTTGCCAAGAAGAAGTTCATGGAGAAGAGTCTGGCTGGCCCGGGACAGTAGAGCTTCGTGCCCCGCTCCATTCCAATATCGAATTGCAAACACTTTAGTGTTGCTGGTGAAAAGTTTCACTTCTATAAAGAAATTTAATACACATAAATTATTTAATTTCGTTCCGCCCGCTCTTTTATGCAGTCCTCACTGTACAATAACAAAATGTCTATTGAGACGCAGCCACGGCAACGATATTTTAATTGGAAAATCGTTCTAAACAAAACATTCTAATATGTACAGCGAACACTAACGATAGAGATGATCCGCCTGCAGATTGGACGCAATCTCAGACTCCCACTTGTCGCCGTTGCAGAGCAGCTTCTCCTTGTTGTACAGCAGCTCCTCGTGCGTCTCTGTGGAGAATTCGAAATTGGGTCCTTCGACAATGGCATCCACGGGGCAGGCCTCCTGCAAGGAAAAAGTCAATGAACCTGGGACTGCAAGATGCGCCAATTGCAACTCACCTGACAGAAACCACAGTAGATGCACTTGGTCATGTCGATGTCGTATCGCGTTGTACGTCTGCTGCCATCGGCACGCTCCTCGGCCTCAATGGTGATGGCCTGGGCGGGGCAGATGGCCTCGCACAGCTTGCATGCGATGCAGCGCTCCTCGCCGCTGGGGTAGCGTCGCAGGGCGTGCTCGCCACGGAAGCGGGGACTCAGCGGCCCCTTTTCGAACGGATAGTTGATGGTGGCCGGCTCCTTGAAGATGTGGGCCAGTGTGACGCCAAAGCCGCGGAAGAGTTCGCCAAAGAACATCGTTGTCGCCGCTCGGTCGGTGATGTCCTCAAACTCCATGCTCAGCTCCTTGTTGTTCACGTACACATAGCCCTTGGCCACCTCAACAATGTCTTTGGGCTCGGTCCGCTTAGCGGCCAGCAAGCGGGCACCGTTGGTGCCAAACATGCGCTGACCTGTGGGGAGACATTTCGTTATTTCTGTGCACTTGTGTGGCCGCTTTGGTCCTTTGTTTTGCTATGACATAAGCTTATATAACCTCACTCAATGCGATGGAATATTCGGGTTTTTCGCATTTCGCGCTTTGAGTCCAAGGCAAGCTTACTGCCAACCACTAACCATTGCGCGATGCTGTGAAAATTCGCATAGTTAGCGACATGTTTGAGGCCCAATTCAGCTGAAACTTCAAGATTTTGTTTGATAATTATTTCCCCGATAACCCAAACAGCTATCGAGACTAGCAATGAGAGACGAATATCGCGGAAAAGTATCGGTATATTTAATATTTGATATTTTAATATTTCTGGGGTATATTTGACGCTCACACGCAAAAATTAGTCGGCTGGATCGTTGAAATTCGGTAGTTGGTGAGTAGTTGAGAGTCCTATTTAATATTAATTAGAATAACAAAATTTATAAATTCGAATACATACGGTATATTTTGAAAATTAGTAGGTATATTTTGGTATATTCGATAATTATTCCGCGGTTTCACTGGCACAGTCATACTTTTTTACCGTTTGATTCCGCCGCGGGGAGCCCGCTGATACAACTTGATATTTTTAGAATTACGAGTTTAAAAAAGCGGTGCCTAGATCAAAATGGATGAACAATTGAAGAACTTCTTCGACTTTTCCAGGGATTTCGTGCGAGAAGAAGCCCCGCGCGGCCATGTTTCGGGCGATGTACACGCTTTTGAGACAGATTCTCACGAATCAAAAAAGCCCATCAAACGCGAGATTGTCGGCAAAGACTATGTGAAGAGATATGTTGAAAAAGAGAAGGAGCTCATGGATGGGGTAAGAGGGGGAGGCGGAACCTTAAAAATGCTACATTTGCTTTTTGTTTAATTCTTTGTTTGCTTATGTTTGTTTTACAGTTGTTGAGTTGCGATGAAATGGCGGCAAAGCGTAATAAGACGCTTGACGACATCGACAGCGATGATGAGAACGAAGCGTTTCCCGATATTCGCACCGATGAAGAGTTTTACGACAAGTACAGGTTCAACCTGAATCGAGACAAGGCTTTGCCGATCTACGCAAAGCGCGAGGAGATCATAAATGCCATTAATGAGAATCCCGTTGTGATATTGAAGGGTGAGACGGGTTGTGGCAAAACAACGCAGGTGAGCTAAGAAACACAAACGAACTAGTTTGTTCAGTTCGGTGGGAAATCAGTACTAGTTCTTCTTTTACAGTTATTTTATGTTGAGAATCTAAATTTATTTATTTAAGCGTCGCTTTCTCTTTGGTCTATCCATAAGCTCTCCACAGTCTTCCTCTTCCTCATCCTCATCCTCGGTGTAATCCTCCAGCTCGTACTCTCGCGCCACTTCTTTGGGCAGCTGCGGGAGGAACACAGTGGACGACGATGTGCGTCGTTGGTACGGATCTTGGGCTTCCTGCTCCTGCTCCGGCTCCTCCTCCTCCGCTTCCTCCGCCTTTGGCAACTCATCCTTTTCTTTGCCATACATAGCTTTGTAGCGCACCCGCTCACGCAGCTCCAGTTGGTGATTCCTGGAGGTTGTGGGCTGTATATCAGCATTCTGCTCACTCTTTTGGACTCCTAAAATATTTTGTATGTCACTGAAGATCTCCTGAAGGTGACTGAAGACCCGAGTGGGCGGCAGTGTCTGTTCTTGCCCGAGCAGCTGCTCCTTCTGCTTGTTATACGCCGTCTCCAGCTTGCAGAGCGGATCGCTGGCGAGGTCCAAGTTACGAAGGTCCTCCAATTCGTAAATAAGGCTGACCTTATTGGGTTTGTGCTGCTTTAGAAGCATTTCGCTCTTCCTTTGCTTGCTGGCTCCCGCAACACTCTCCACGTTGTCATAGTTGACCAAGGCGTCCAGGCCCTGGCAATAGTCCAAGGCCGTGAAGCGAAAAGCTTGCTGCTGGACCAGGCGCCAGAAGAAGTAGCTAACCTGCTGAGTGTCCTTCTGGTCCGGGCTGTCACGTCGCAGCTGCAGCGCGTAGTCGCACAGGCTCTGCCAGGTGTCTGGTGACACTTCGATCTTGACAAAATGCTGTGTCGGCTGCTTGTTGTAAATCACGTACAGTAGATAGAATCCTGCAATGCGCTGGTAGCGGGATGCGGCTGGATGTGGTTGCCCATTGGTGCGACGGCCGCAGGCCACTCGCTTGCCCACGTGCAGGGCGGCCAGTGTGGTGGCAATTATCTCGATGTGGTTCGTCTGCGCGGAGAAAAGATGCTGCAGTTGCAGCTCCTGCCAGCAGCGGCAGAAGAGCTCAAACTTGCCGTTCTGCTCGTCGTTGGCTGCTTGGTTGAAACGTTGCACCAGCAGCCAGCAGTCGTCATACACATTCACTTCCATCGAACAGCGAGCTTAGTTTGTTTATTCAACACATTCTGCAGTACAAAATGTAAATAAGAAGCCAAATGGCCGGTTAAAGTATTTTCGAGCACTGTTTTTTTTTTGTGCTGGAACTGGTTCTCCTGTTCCTAATATTCAAATACAACCGTTATTCAGCACTGTAATGTAATTCTCCCGCCCAGGTGCCACAATATATTTTGGATGAGGGTTTCAAGAGCAAACAATACTGCAACATTGTGGTAACCCAGCCTCGCCGCATTGCCGCCATGTCCATAGCGAATCGTGTATCCCAAGAGCGTGAATGGGAGCAGGGCACCGTGTGCAGCTACCAAGTGGGCCTTCATCGACAGTGCAGGGCTACGGAAGACACACGACTTCTATACTGTACCACGGGAGTGCTGCTGAACAATCTTATTGTCTACAAGACGCTCACTCAGTACACCCACATTGTGTTGGACGAGGTGCACGAGCGTGACCAAGATATGGACTTCCTGTTGATCGTGATCCGCCGCCTTCTGGCCACAAACTCGCGTCACGTAAAGATCATTCTGATGTCGGCGACCATTGATCCACGCGAGCTATCCGATTACTTTGCCACCAAGAGCTCTGTGCCGCCCATTATCTCCGCCAGCCCTGGACGCAACTACACTGTGAACAAATACTATCGCGATCAATTGCACTCCATTAACTGGGAGGGCAACATGGAGCATATAGACAGTCCAGGAATTAGCCATCACGGCTACAGATCAGCGATTAAAATCATTTTGGTCATTGACAACATGGAGCGCAACGACAAAAATACCGACAAAACCTACAAAGAATCATTGTGCGAAGGTTCCGTTCTCATCTTTCTGCCAGGCATTGGGGAAATCAACACCATGTGCGATACGCTCACGGAAATGCTGAAACTTGAGTAAGAAAATGATTTCAATTAAACTATTATATATACATAAATACTCATAGATTTGTAAACATCTTTGCAGTCCAAACATGAAGATTAACATGGTGCGCTGCCATTCCCTGATGACGCCAGACGATCAGCGGGACATCTTTGAGCCAGCACCGCCTGGCTATCGCAAGATCATAATGTCCACCAACATTGCCGAGAGTTCCATTACCGTGCCGGATGTGTCATATATTATTGATTTTTGCCTCGAGAAGGTTCTGGTCACTGATACGTCCACAAATTTTAGCAGCCTGCGGCTGGTGTGGGCCTCAAAGACCAATTGTCGCCAGCGCGCCGGACGCGTTGGTCGTCTCCGGAATGGTCGCGTTTATCGCATGGTCACCAAATCATTTTACAATCGAGAGCTCTCGGAGTATAGCGTGCCGGAGATGCTGCGCAAGCCATTGCAGAACTGTGTGCTCAGGGCCAAAGAGCTGAAGATGGGCACACCGGTGGAGCTGTTGGCACTGGCCCTGTCCCCGCCCAATCTCTCGGATATCTGCAACACCGTGCGGATGCTCAAGGAAGTGGGTGCCATGTACCCCACCGTCGATGGCGATTACGATCCCATGGATGGAGACATTACCTCTTGGGGCAGAATTATGTCCAAGCTGCCGCTGGATACGCACCTCAGTCGGATGATAATTTTGGGCTATGTATTCAATCTCCTTGAGGAAACAATCATCATCGCCGCTGGCTTGAGCGTGCGTGGCGTTTACGTAGATGGTCGGTTATCTATGAACGACGACAACTACTGGATGCATTATGTCTTTGCCGATGGCTCTGGCTCCGATTTGGTGGGCATTTGGCGCATCTACTTGGTAAGTCGCTCCCTCTCTTGCTCACTACAGCACATGCTCGAATTATGTTTGAATTATTTTAGACTTACCTGAACATGTGTGAGAATGGAATGGTTAGGGATGCGTCTAATCAGTGGGCCAATCGCTTCCATCTCTCATTGCGAGCTTTGAGCGAGATGCATTTGCTGGTGCAGGAGCTGCGCAGTCGCTGCAGTCAACTTTCCCTGTTGCCGATTACCTTCCCCACCGGCCACATCTCCGATGATCGAGAGAAAGCTCTAATGCTCAAGGTGGTCATTGCTGGTGCCTTCTATCCCAACTACTTTGTGCAATCAAAGTCAACGCCAGACGCTGAACGGGGTATGTATTCGGTGATCTCTGGATTGGATCCATGCCGCACAGTATACTTTACCTCGTTCACGGACCGCACCATGGGGGAGCTGTACACCCGCAAAATCAAGGAACTGTTCCTCGTGGCAAAGATACCGCCCGAAGACATTGAGGTTACCTTTGGCACAGGCTCGGAGAAGGTTTTTGTCACCTTCAAGAATGATGGCTGCAAGCCTGAGGGCTCCACATATATCCATGTCCCTGGACGCATCAAAACTGAGGTCTACAAGGCACTAAGACTGAAAGCATTGATCGCTCAGCGTTCAATTCTTGTAATGGAGTAAGCTGGCGGTCCCATACCTGGTTCTATCTGTTTGATTGTTTTGTGCTTTTCAGACCAAGAAGAGCCTTAAAGTATGTGCAGACCAACAATATAGGGCAGGTCATTGAGGGTCGTTGGATTCCCCCTTCCAAGCCAGTGGCCGTGGAGCTGCTGGCCCTGCCGTCTGTCTTCGACAAGAATATAGTCGGAAGGATTACGAACGTGAGCGACAAGTGGGATTGCCACTCAATAATACAAATTGTTCCTTTGATTTTCGACAGATTGTGAGCTGTGGCAAGTTCTACGTCCAGCCGGAATCCTTTGGTGACTGCATTGCCAACATGTCGGAACATTTCAATGATCCGCTGCAGCTGCAAAATCATGTGAAAATTGCGGGCACCATCACCAAGGGGCTGATGCTGCTGGCCAGGCGTCAGGGCGTGTACCAGCGAGC